TTTAACACCACACAGGCTCAACTGTATGACGTAGTAAATCAACTGAACAGGGAAATATCGTTCAATCCACTCTTTGTGTGATCCACAAATAGTTGTTTCGGGTCTGTATGTCATATGTCATGTGTTTTTAAACGCACCTGACATGACACAGTAAATCCTAGTGTTGGGCACGCTACTCATGAATAAGAGTCCCGTTGTGTTTCGAAACTAGTAGAGCATTTCTCAGTTGATTCACATGAATTCAATTTAGTATGTCTCACGATAGTTAGATACTATTTAAAAAAAGGAACTATACACTGTATATTTATTTACATCATTATTTACTTGTACAAACGAAGTTATTTACTTGGTGTTTGACTGTACTTACACCTACCTGGCCAGCTTACTACAGCACCATAAGAACTACATAAGTGTGGCACATTATACATTCGAATTCATCAATTACAGGTTACCGGTGCTGGTTTTATAATGCACATAAACTGCGCAGATACTGTGCAATCACGTCAACTTGACATTTTATTACAATTTAGTCGATTTATTTATCTATGTTTAAAAGTTGCTTGCGTTGCTTGGCGGCTAGCTGACCCTGTGAAACTGATTAAAAAGAGTAACCATGGAGTTTCTTGCTCGTTCTTCTCCTTAGGAATTTTCACTTACGAATTTAGATCAATTGGTCTACTCGTCTCATCTGTTTTTTTTATCGATCGGCAAACGAACAGACGGATTACCTGACGGTAAGCAATCAGCACCGCCCATGGACATCCGCAACGGAAAAGTTGCGAGTGCGTTGCCGACCATTTAGGGATTTGGGATTTGGAGATTTAGGGATTGGGGGAGGGGAAGGATTGGGCCTCCGTCTGTTAATGACGATGGTAAACTTTGAATACATAATCAACCCACCACAAATACTCCTATTAGAAATTAATGAATTAATACTAAACTGTATTAGTTCTCTCATTAACCCCGTCCATAATGAAGTAATTATGCTAATGCAGTCGAACAATAAAAGAAAGAAATACAAGTGATAAGCTTATCACCAATTTCTAATCGACTGTGTGTGGGATTGTTTACGGAGAGGATATTTAAACCGATTCTGTTATCTTTTGTAAATATTATCTATTTATACTACCTATACTAGTGACCCGCCCTGGCTTCGCACGGATGCAAAGCTAGTACTAACTTTCTCTACTATTTACAATACCGCCAACGTATCTTGGCGAGTCTGAAGTTAGCCGATTAGCTGCGCAGTACACAATATTGTTCCTAAAAGATCCATTGCACAGACAAACGGCTAACTTCAGACTCGCCAAGATACGTCGGCCGTACTGTAATGGATGTTAATATACATATAAGTCTTACTTTTAATCACTCTATCTATAATGAAGCCGCATGTAGTGATGTTACTGAGGTCCATGGCTTGCCTACAAATACTTTATTCTGTGAAGTTGGGAAATGAAGCCTTTTCCCAGCAATGGGAAGGTTACAGATTGATATAAAGTTGGTTAAAAAAAGAGAGAAAATGGGAAAATAATCTTTATTCGAGCCCTTTAATATAAAAAAGACATACCAAGATCGTTTACCTTTCGCTTAGCATAATAAACACTAGGGACAATTGAATCTATATTAATATTATAAAGAGGTAAAATTTGTAAGTTTGTATGTAGGCGGTAAACTTTGGAACTGCTGGTCGGATTTCCAAAATTCTTTCACTGATAGATAGCTATAATGTTCCTGAGTGCTATAGGCTATAAAACATCCCGCTACGATTAAATCGAGCTGAGCAGCGGGTAAAACCGCGCGAGAATAGCTAGTATGGAATAAAACCAATCTTCAATTTAAAAAACAAACTGGTTGCTTTTTTTCCATTGAGTTCTGTAAATATTGACAGACATTCGCGATATTGTTTTGTAACAAAAATTCACAATTTACTTTTAATTTCAATTAAGTTGTAAACATGTGCTAAGATAACACATTTTTGTTTATATTTCTCCGATTCGTGTTTAGGTACTTTCAATTTTAATCATTACGTAGGTAAGAAGTATTGTTGTCAACAATGTTATAATTGTATTCATGCTAACTTGCATTACTTTTGAGTCTGTAGGAATCAGGGCAGGGAAAAAAACAGATTTTATATTTACTTAGGTATTCTTCTTTTTTATGGTGAAATTCATTATTGGTGAACATGAATGATATTCTAAATTTAAAAGGGGTACCTATTAATACGAGTATAAAACCTGAATATAGAGGTTTTTAGGTATTTTTAGGTTTTTAAACCAGAAAAAGAATGTGATTTATTATTGTCTTTAGATTTATATATTGTTTAACAAATAACGTTTAGTAAATAACAGTTATTTCGTATTGTGTGATATTTATTCTAGATTTTCTTAATATACGTAGGTATCATCTAGCTAGTATTTTCAAAAATAGTTAAAAGAAGCTAAAAATAACAAGGACCTAAAGAATCCCTGGTATATGATAATATCATCTGGTATTTAACCAGACATCTAAGCATCAATCCATCTATTGACAGTCAGTTAAGCGTAAAAGGAAAACAATGATAACACAAATATTTATATAAATACTTTATTGTTTATAATTTATAATTAAATATTTCCGCGGGGAATTAAAGCACTAGAGCATAGGCAGTAATACATTCAATGCGTGACGTTGGATATCGCATACATATTCATATAGCGACATATTATTACATGTTATTGTCGCGGTGGGATTCAAGCGCTTACTTCTCATTCTCATGAACAACTTGCGGCTTGTAGTCCAGCTCCAGAACCTTGCTGAGGCTGCTGACGTACATGTCAAGACGCTGGGTCATGTAGTAGCAACGTCTGTCCTTAATTTGCCTGTTCTTGTTCAAGTCCATCACGGCAATCAGCAACCCATCCTTGGTACGCGAAAGTCCAGGACACCGCACGCCGTCCGGACCAGTGAAGTAGCTAGACCCGTAGAAAAGTCCCAGGTCCTTGTGAGCTGGCTTCCCATCAGCCGAAGTAAATTCGTTAGGGAACTCTTCATACCCAACTCTGTTGATCGCCGCCGTGTAGTAGCAGTTCGTGATGGCAGCGTTTCTAGCTTCGATGTTCCACATGTACTCACTGCCAGCTTCAGCAGCAATAGTAGCTGATGGGTTGAACACAATCTCCGCTCCATTCTGGCCGAACATCATCCAGTTCAGCACGTGATGACGGCCGAAGCAAATGTTCACAGCAATCTTACCGTACCGGGTCGCGAAGACAGGGTGACCAGTGTTACCCTCCATGTAGTAGTTGGACTCATTGAAGTCCCCTACTCTTGGAATATGGTTCTTGCGGTGTTTGCCAATAACGCTACCGGTGTCACTGATAATCACTGCTGTGTTCCACAAAATGTCGGAGTGGTTCTCATCTCTTTCGAGAATGGATGACACGAATACCATGGCGTATTTAGCAGCCAACTCACTCAAGAATCTCGTAGTAGGGCCCTCTTCGGCTGATTCGGCGAATTCGCACCAAGGTTGTTTCTCCCTTGTGCAGAAGGCGAAAGGCATGTTCCATAGTTCCTGGAAGCATATAATGTTGACGCCTTCCTGGCCGGCGACATCGATAATCTTCTTGACTTTGTCAAAGATGGCTTTCTTCTGCTCGTTGACGGGGCGATCGGTGGGCGCGGCGATGGAGTGCTGGATGACACCAACTTTCACAATCCTGGGTGGTCTTGTCTGTTCTTTCTTGGCGGGGAAAGCGTAAGCAGCTATTTCGAAGTCTGCTTCCTTAGCGGCAGCGATAGAAGATTCCTTTAGCTTGACTTCATGGTTGTCAGTTCTTCCGTAGTAGATCCTGTTGAACTCTTCGAGATCACGGCCATTTAGGTTGTTGTTGATGATGGATTCAAGGCTGACTGTTTCGTTCTCCATTTCTAAGTTTTGTGCGTATTTGACTGTTCTCTAGGATAGCTCGTCAACGACTGCGCTTTTCAGCCTGCGCTCGCGTTTAAATACCTTCAAGTTCGTTAGTGATGCATTAACCGTAGGTTTGTTTATCTGTGTGGTCCGACTGCTGCGGGCGACCTTCGACCCTAAGCGATAAGTTTAGAAGCGGCTCTGAAAAATATTTGGTTATCTTCAACCTGACTACGTGACCGGAGGAGCAGGACCATTGCGGGGTGTCATAATATGATAATTTAATGTGAAAATAACTTATCATGAAAATATGCCTGGCTACTATCTAACTAATCGGTGTTATTGTGTATTTTTTTCTTTATTTTGTTTAATTGTTTTTTTTTATTCTGTTTATGGTTTGATATTTGGAAGATTTTCTATTTTATTGTATCAAAACAATTTGTTCCTGCATGACAACCAGTCCCGCTCTTTCTCTCCCGTTTCTCCTATAGCCTTTTTCGATGAATTGATTAGAACACAAAAATAATACTTAAAGCATTAATTTAAGAGAATAATTGATGAGATTTTATAACTAAGATATATGGAAAAGGTAGTCCATATATCTTAGTTATAAAATCTCATCTCCACGTAACTCGGTAGGGTCTCCGCAGCTGCTGTTTCGGTTTCAAAATGCATTGAGAATATCAAATATTGTGGCGACTGGCACTATACGATCCTTTTATTATCTGATACAGTAACCACAGAACGCCCTAGATTTAAAAGCAGCTAAGTATCACCTCATCATATAATTAATATCATAATATATACATAGCATAAACAAAGTCGTTTTTTATTCCTATATCCCGATGCATGCTTCAATCTTTAAAACTACGCAACAGATTTTGATGTTGTTTTTTAACAGATAGAGTGATTGAATATAATAATAGTAAGGGAAATTATCTGCATCGCACCCTTACGGAGCCGGGCCGGGTCGCTAGTTAACCATTTATCATTAAAAAATACAAAATAGATACTCAATTTACAAATTACTTATATACTCAATTCATTTGCAAAGTAAGCTGGAAATGGCTCTCTTCATCTGTTGTTGCTGGTTTTTTTACGGGATAAGATGACGGATCCACTGATGGTAAGCAATCAGCGCCGCCTAGCGCCTATGGACAACACCGGAGGCGTTGCAAGTGCGTTGCCAGAAGGTGGGGTTGTCTAAGATGGTATAGCTCACAAATCCTATATCGTCGTGAGCTACTTGGACTCTAAGAAATCCTTTATTTTTAATTTTCAAAGAAAAGAAACCCCACTGAACCAAAAAACCGCCCTGGTACTAAGTACTTAGGTAGTTAGTTCTTTATCATTTTATGGTGTAATAAACCTACAATAAAGACTTTTAATGTAATATGTATTACAACTGATTATCTTATGAAGAAAAGATGAAAGTAGTTAATGGAAATATCTATAGGTAAGTGAAATATCGCAGATTTACTCTTTTAGACTTCTTTATTAAATTTAAATTACACCGAGACGTCTTATTCGTTTTACAGTTGTCGCCATCTTCCTTTTTCCCGTCTATCCTTCCTCTCTCTCACACACATACGTCGTCTCGCTCATGTGTCACTCATGCTCATATTCTAGAATCATATTCTAGAATCATATTCTAGAATCCTACAACTCACCTTTAGATACGCATACCGTTTAGAGATTCGATAGGAATATCCAGGTATTGAAAGTAGGAAAGTTAATTCTTGCTGGGTCTGTCGTGTACAAATGTCTAGTCTAATTAACTTTCTCTAATGGTTATCTCATGTGGGGTTACGCAGAGCAGATGAGCTGCTCAATGGTGAAGTAGTTGTAAGATCGACTGTTTATCACTGAGCTTAGACACAGAATAACACACAAGTGTGTATTTTTATTTCTAAATAACTACTCAGTAGACACTAAAGAGTTACCGATGTGATGTTTTATTACGCCTAAAGTTGGCCGTTGGGAAAATCGTCAAATGACCTTTCCCGCCCAGGGTAAGGCGAGAGAGAGTGTCAGACTCTTACTGACCAAAAACCCCCCCGTTCCTTCTCCTGCTCTGGGCCGAGGCCGCGGTGACTCATTGCGCTTAACCCGCAATCCTAACTGAAGATGTAAGGGATACAAGCGCAAAAACGCGGAACGCAGCAAGAAAAGGAACAGGGTAGTTTCAAATCAGAAAGAGTTTGTCTGTGCATCTCGCTCCCCCCGAGTGGCGGTGGAGAGAGACGACAATATACCTACCTAATGATTTTTCCCTTATTAAACAAAATAGGTTGTTCTCAACATGGGAATACAAAAGCTATAACCTTATATAGGTAGGTATATGTAAAATGTCGGCGTTTCTTTTAGGTAGGTAATTGTAACTTTGCATACCCGTTCTAGAATTACAGAGCTCAAAATAAGTTAGTTAAGTATTAACAACGAAGTTCTAGAAAAAAAGACAAAAACAATAAGTATCTTCATGTTGGCATTGGCACTTTACAAGTACCAACTTAACGTAAACAAATCTTTAATCAAATGTTGACCAATCTGGAATAATACATTAGTGTTAATTCATAACGAGTCGCGCGCCAACATGTTAAACATCGATTAGTTACACAAGCCACGATTATTTACATCGTCCACAACGTTACGTAACGTTTATCAATCTTGTTTATATACTAAAAGCTATTTATAATTATCACATAGCAGATATGGCCACCCAGTCACTCCATTTGGACGAAATTATTAAGAATAAATTAAATACTGAACAGTTGAAGGAGTATAACAGAATTCATTATGGAAGAATCGATAATTGTGAGATAAAACTTCAAGATTCCACCTTAGAAGCAGGTAAGCTGCATGATTTTGAAGTCGCTGCATACTCCTTCAGTGCAGCCAAAGAGGTTAGAAATCCTAGACTCGTCAAGGTCGGTTTGATTCAACATTCAATTGTTTTACCGACCAGTGAGCCAATAGAAAAGCAGAGAAATGCTATATTTGATAAAGTCCAGAAAATTATTGAAACTGCTGCTTCGGAAGGCGTTCAGATCCTTTGTCTACAAGAAGCATGGTATATGCCATTTTTCCTGTGCACTCGTGAGAAAGAAGAATGGAAAGAATTTGTCGAATCCGCAGATAATGGCCCTAGCTTTATATTTTTGAGTAAATTGGCTAAGAAGTTCAATCTGGTTGTCATATCGCCAATTTTAGAGAATGACAATGGCGTTTGGTGGAATACTGCAGTTGTAATCGATGAGAATGGACATTACGTGGGAAAACATCGCAAGAATCATTTACCCAGTGTCGGGAGTTTTAGTGAAACCGCTTATTATTTACCTGGCAACACCGGCCATCCAGTTTTCGAAACGAAATACGCAAAGATCGCTATTAATATTTGTTATGGCCGTCATCATGCTATGAACTGGTTGATGTTTGGACTCAATGGAGCTGAAATTGTTTTTAATCCTGCTGCAACAATTTCTGAATTTGGAGAATCGTTTTGGGGCATAGAAGCCCGGAATGCTACCATTGCCAATAGCTACTATACTTGCAGTCTCAACAGAGTAGGAACAGAAGATTTCACTACCAGAAGTACTCAGAAAAACATATCGAGAAGTTACTATGGATCTAGTTACATCACAGCTCCTAATGGGTGCCGAACTCCGAGCCTGTCAAGAGACAAAGATGGACTTCTTATTGTCGACATGGATTTAAACCTATGTCGTCAAGTCAAGGACCACTGGGGTTTTAACATGACGGCCCGACTGGACATGTATGCTAAAGAACTAAAAAATATACATCCCACTCCAAACCTGTTGTAAAAATATTTGTCTTGTCTTGTGTGCCGTTTAATATATTCAATAATCATTGTGTTAGAAGTAACTTGCAAAAAATATAAATCTGCTTTATAAAAATCAAATGTTGACTATTTTCTTTTTAAATATTCTCGTCTATTTATTGTCACTCAACCAATAATTAATCTAAAGAATTGTACCTTTTTATTTGGCTTAAAGAACTTGTATCCAGGCCATAAACTCCAAAAAAATATGCCTTTATTTATTATCTGTGTGAAAAATTGTCGCCGATGAATTGTCACTTTTTCGGTTTCCCGTGTAAAGTTTATTGCCGTATTTTTATTAGAAAATAGCTGGATTTATTTACATAAAGCAAAATGGTAAGCATATTTTGCAATCCTTTACTCTTTATTTGTGTTTTATTGTTTTAAACAAGAGAACAAAATAGGAAATTGGTTATGATAGCGTCATGAACATTACGATGCATAATTTGTATTTTGTTGTGCTAAAACTTAGCTTTCTGCTGCAATTAGACTAAAAAACTTAATAATCAATATAGATTAATGGAAATTCGATGTCTCAAAAGATGTTTTTCTAATTATTGCTGTAAATACCTGTGTTGGAATATTATAAGAATATCAGTGCACCTAACTGCTATGTCTTGTTTGTTTTTAGTCTATTTTAGCTTATAACGGAGGTGCTGTGGTCGCCATGAAAGGCAAGGACTGCGTGGCGATCGCAACAGACAAACGGTTTGGTATCCAGGCCCAAACTGTTTCAACCAACTTCCCCAAGGTGTATCAAATGGGCCCCACATTGTATGTCGGCCTTCCCGGTCTTGCTACTGATACACAGACCGTGTTCCAGAGATTAAAATTTAGGTAAGAAACTATGAACCTACAATCTTGAACCATTCACACTACTGCAAGATGCTTGTAATGGCTTTGGCTAATTAATAAACTTTCTTCAAATTCTTGTTAATCAGTGAACTCTAGCAAATCTGTAATACTTAGCATTATACACTTAAAAAAATACCGAAATATACAAAATGTAAAAAACTGTAATATAGTATTTGACTACACAAGAAATGTAACCATATCATAACAGTCACTCTTTTACATCTCATTCCAGAATGAACCTCTACGAACTCAAGGAGAACAGAATGATGAGACCTAAGACATTCTCAGCAATGCTCTCCAACCTGCTGTATGAGAGGCGTTTTGGACCTTACTTCATTGAGCCCGTCATTGCCGGACTTGACCCCTATGATAACCAGCCCTATGTGTGCAATATGGATCTGGTAAGATATATTCCATTATTAGATGTTAAAATGTTGATGATTCTTATATTCTATTCCAATAAATAATTTTAAGTTTTATTAGTTTACACAAAATTTTAACCCTACAGTTATATTTTACAAACCAAAAAGAATTGCTCTCTGGTAACGATTATATCTTTTACAATGTTTAATTTAACTTGCAACATTGTGTGTTGGTGAAGTGAAATCTTGAAGATAATATTGAAGCTGATTTCCATGGCCTACATAATTATGCATAGAACACCCACTTTTCACCAATACATGATGAATCCTCTAATAGAGGCTTTATTATATTCCAGCTCAGAATTGCCACATCTTACTTGCTGCAGAGTTCAGTCAAACTTGTCACAAGTCTGCCACCGATTTAGCAAACATATTGAAACAATCCCTACACTAATAAAAAAAATGTGTATAGATTGTGTGTTATGAAATTTTCCTAGTTTCATTAAATCCAAACTGCGAAAGTAACTTTGTCTGTCTGTCTTTTCTTCACGCCTAAACTACTGAACCAATTTCTGTGAAATTTGGTACAGACTTAGTTTGGAACTCGAGAAAGGACATAGGATGCGCAAGCAAACGCTAGTGGGAAAGTATATATTACTAACAATGGTATTGCTTTGCAGATTGGCTGTCCCAATGAGCCTGAAGACTTCGTAGTGTCAGGTACCTGCTCAGAACAGCTGTATGGTATGTGTGAAGCTCTGTGGGAACCCAACCTGTCTCCTGATGAGCTGTTTGAAACTATCTCACAGGTAAGAACCAAAACATCCAACTTTTTTTTTTGCGTCTTTTACACACATTGTAATGTTTCAGAGTATTTAATTTTAGTGTACCTACATAAGATATTTCATGCCTTAAATTAAATTATAAAAAAAATATGATCTCTACGGTAATATAAAACAAAACCACGTCAAAACCAATAAAGAAAAAAAATGTTATTTTCTCTTTATTTAAAATTAATCTTCTTGCTTATTGAAACTTCCAGGCGCTAGTGAACGCAGCCGACCGTGACGCTATCTCCGGTTGGGGTGCGGTCGTCTACATCATTGAGAAAGACAAGATTACTGAGAAACACGTCAAGACGAGGATGGACTAATTTGTTGTAAGATATGTCGGTCTGGGGAGTTTTTACTAATAAAATTATTTTAAAACTTATTTGCACTTTCATTGATTCTTATGTGCCTCTTCAATAGCACTCCAGTTGCTACTGAGCTCGATATTTAACTCTTCAATCCGAACACCGCCAATAAAAAATAATGATTGGTTTAAATCCAAAATCTTCAGATATAGATTGATTTAGTCTCGTCAAATTGTCGTGGTGGCCCGTAGGTTACAGCTTCTCTAGCATGGAGGGTGTGGGTGCGAAGCTAGGCAAGTACCAATGTGATGTGTTTCTTCGAGTTATACGTACTTTCTATGATTATTTAGACACCTCATATATACGGTGCAGGAAAATATGGAGAAACCTAGACTATATTTGTAATTAAAGTTTGAAAACGCCAATCTGTGTTGAGCAAGCTTGGTGATATACTCAAACCTCCATGTGGGAACAGACCTTTGCTCAGCAGTGGGCACTTATATGCTAATCCTCCTTACTTAGGCACTTATAGGCGCTAATGATGATGTAATCAAGATGATCCAAAGTTTTTGATAGTTGACTTCGGCCGATAGGCACTCCACTTATTCAGCGAAGATTATTAATGATATAGGCTTAGTAACCGAGTAGTTAGTAGGGGAACGGTGTAAGAAATAAATAAAAACTTTTATAATGCAGAATCTTTATAAACCGAATATTTAAAAAATTAAGTTTATTTAATTTTTCATACATTTTTTTTTGTCTTTACAAGAGTAGTAGACTAGAGAATTAACATTTCAACCGTGTTGCTTACATGCCGAATATGTTTTTGTAGCGAAGCTATCGTTTTAATAAATATATGCCGTACGTTGCGGGCTCGTGGCTTCAACCGTCACCAATAACAAGATAAAACCTATTCGAAATAACATAACTACAAATTAAAATTATCGACCTAAACAATGGCAACACATATGACGTAATTTGAATCATTTCATGACTAACACATTGTTCAGGAATATTAAGACAGGGTCCGGGATAAAATAAAAAAAAATCCTCTCCTCTGAGAGGGTAACAAAGGATTTCTAAACACTAGAAGCCAACCACTTCGTAACAAAACAGTACTTATTTCGTTCGTTATCAATTTAGAAATCAGAAGTGGTTACCTCGAATCTAATATAAAATTAATATCTAAAAGTAAACAATATCTATCACAAAAAAAACTAACATCTGACAAAATCATTTCAAATCGTTGGCAAACCAAATGGAGCCTTAAATACTGATTTCCGTGAATCTTGTAATATTTCCTGATAGACAATAAACAGTTAAAAGAATTACAGCGACATTATTCTGAGGTCAGTTGAACATTCGATATGGCGTAGCCCGGACACGTGTCGAGACCGCTAGAGACTACGCGTAAAGTATAAAATTTACCAATATATTTAGTACACCGTAAACGGCACATGAATTTTCACAGAATAAATCACAAAGACTTCATAACAATCCAAGTCTTATTCGAAATATAGAATAATAAATAACAAAACCTTACATTATACTATTAAAAACACTACTCTAGACAGAACTAAGCGAACTAGGTATGGGTATATTGGCAAAAACGACGTTATGTATTGGGTGAAACACCGAACCTTAACAATGGCCGTTTCTTTATACAACTCTGGACCTTACTGCCCATTTTATAGAATACATAATTAACTGTTATTTAACGAGTACAATACCGAATACATTGTATAACAGTTTGATCTGGGTACAAGACAATTATGAGCTTTATTGACCACTGAAATATTTCCACAATTAAGTTTAATACCTAAATGTTTTCAATGTTTCAATAATACTCAGACTTGTCAACAAAGTATGGATCAACACAAATGATAAAATTTTCGTGAACAACATTTCTAATGTACTCTAAAATCACATTTAAAAATGAAATACCAAAAACTTTTTATTGACAAATTTCATAAGTTCGTACGAATCGAGTCGATCCATACTTCCCAGGCAATCACAACTTTTATTATGAACAAAACGTGTGTACTTGAAACAATATACAATATTATAGAAGGCATTATAATAAGATACAATACAACGGCCAATAATATTAGTATACATGTATTTGATAAAGTTTAATTAGCCAACCGTAACACGTCAACATCCTAATCCAATGATATTTTAACATTTTTTTTTATTAATATTATTAATTCATTATAATTTGTCAATTACTAAACTACGCGTTAGCGGAACATTATAAAAAGCTAATAACGAGTTATGAAAATTATTGCGAAAGTGCTTTTTAGAGGATTATAAGTTTTTATTGTATTCTGAGGCAAAAACTGCAGTTTTTTCCTTCAATTATTCTTTAAGACGGGGTGAATAGAATTCGATTGGTATATAGACACAGAAAAAGAAGTTAATACAAGAAGGGAAATTATCCATAACCTTCTGCATTAATTCATCGCTCGAATTCCATTCACCCTGTTTTACCATATGTTTAATCAGAATTTAGGTACATGATATATTGACAAACACAATACACGTTGATTTTGAATACAGGAGACACGCATAACGTATAAAATGGAGTGCGCAATGTATTAATCTCACACCCAAATTATGCATACGATGTTCAAAGAATTGTGCTTTTATGAAACACAAAGAAAATCCGCTTTGTCAATATATGCGTGTTCACAACATTGATTTTTGTAACAGTTTACAATTACAACTACATTTTGGTGTTTCGACGAAGAAAAATGAGCGATACACTGCAAGTGTTTAAAGTGATACTCGTCGTTTGGGTAACAGGAAAGTGCGCAGTAGCAGGAATGCTACATTTGAGATTGCCTCGACATGCCTTGTACGTCAAATACAAGACCTATATTAATTTTGTATTGTCGTTTTATCATCTCCGTTAACATAGAGAATGTTTTACATGCCGAAATATAGTGTTTTATAGTAAAATATTAAATATGCTCGTTACTTTCCCAAAATGTTTACACCATCGATTGTAAAACTAGCTAAACTACATCGGTGTAAAATCTGCTAACAGTCTTAATTGATAACACAAGCCAATCTCAAACGTAGCACTGTAACAATAAGATTCTAAGCACAAAACAGGGACTCAGAGTGAGAATAAAACGTGAATATTGTCAAAAGGGTCCGCTTATTATTATTATTATTGCAAATATCAAGACGAAAGTGTAGAATTATTATTATTATTAAAAATATGGGTCCCGAACAACCCGTTCTGTCCCTGTTTCGGACAATGACCGACCTGGATACAGCTTGAGTCGTGCTAAAGTCTGCTAAACCGTAGAATACCAACGTCACGAGTGTACTAGGCATTCGTCGATAACTAGGGGTACATTTTTCGAGCGAAATTTCCGTTAACAACCTCGGTTTGCGCTTTCCACGATATAGTACAAATCAGCCTTTAATCATGTCTATTGCACAATGTTCAATTCAATTCGCACGCGAAGCGAATAAAATACGATATCATAATTTTAATTTCGATAAAAATTACAAACTTCACGCGAATTGTCCGATCGTTTCGCATAAACGCTAATATCAATACATGCCTCTTCACTACGATTTAAACATTAGAATTTTATTTATTTGCATTTTATATTCTCAATAAGAATCGACGTTATTACACTTACTGTATCGTGGGACTTGTCTTAGACAAGATAATAACAATTGAGCGGTGCTTCTTTCAGTACCTAACAACATGAACGAAAATGTCAAAAGAAAACAAATAACCCAGGTAAGCTAGACAAAAGTATATTGCCACATTTGAACTGATAACTCGTCTACATAAACTACCCAGGCCTTTACAATCTACATCACCCTGTAAACTCCAATAATTTACTAACAAGGGCCGATGAGTGAACTTAAATCGGTGTATTGAATGATCTAGCTGAAACTAAACGATATAGCTAAAACATTCAGAACTCCATTGAGATCGTCCGTACACTACCTTGATTTCTTCTTGAAATAACATTGAAAATTTAAAATACATCAAAAGAAAGTAAAGAAAATGTGTCTGCTCAGTCCAAAGTATTCGTTGATGGGCACCATGTCCTGTGCAAATAATTTAGTAAAAGAGAAAATATAAATCATTTTGTACCTATGTAAATTAACTCCAAATCACATAGAAATAAAATAATAATGTGCCAATTACGAGATAATAATATAAAAGTGAACGTTAGGCAATGTTGTACAAATTTCAAGACACGGACACGCCATCTTTCCATCTTTAAGCATAATAACAAAGAGAAATAAACAAATGGAGTGCTTATATGCGGACATCGCCAACTACCCTTCAGCTCATGTAACAATTTATAGCAAGAAAAAAGAATCTGGCAAATAGAAGAAAAAGGAATAAGATACTTTGATCATGATGATGATTGAGACGGACGAGTTTCCGCCTTCAATAACTTGAGATATTAGCACTCCATTGCCTATCGAATCCTTGTCAGACAATAATATTGAGTATAAGTACTAAAAGAAGCACCGTTGTGCGGCTGTGAACCTAGTTGCCCTCGATGGCCTTGGCTACAAACTCTATGAACCGTTTCCCGTACTGCTCGGGGTCGCAGGTCGATATACCGTCCACGTTGCTGCCGTATTTAACAGTCTTCGCTGCTTTCGCCGCCTGAAAAATAAAGACATGGATAAGTGATGATGTTTTAATTACATTTTTTTTTTGTCAGAGGAAAATCATCAAATGTATGCTGCCCGCAAGATAAGACGAAAGGAAATGTCAGACTCTTACTGACTTAATACTCCCGTTCCTTCTCCTGCTCTAGGCCGAGGTCGCGGTGCCTCATTACGCTTGCCCCGCAACCAAATTTTAACACGTAGAAATACATATATGTGAATGACTTCTATATGGTAAGAAACTTTTACTATGTTATAAAGCAGCTTGGAAATCGAGAATTTCTTATAATTCTTTACAATAGAATTTGTCTTCATCTCATTTTAATATCCCATCGAAAATTATTAAATATTAATATTATTGTCATACCTGTTTCTTTACACCATAATGCGTCAGCACGTCAATCAAAGCGACGAAGTAAATCTCTTTTTTGGGAGCACCTGGAACACAATAAATGGCCTTTATTAATAATATTACATTATTCAGTGAATTTTTATGTAGCTAAAATTAATAATACTTAAATTATTTAAGATTTGTAGACAAAGAATTGCATAGTTTTCTGAATCAAAAATAAATTACTTAAAGTTGAGAGAAAATACTTAAAATAATCACACTTTTATTTAAAGATTTCATATACCTAACTTTGTTTTTTCCTTGGCAATTTAAGAAACATGAGCATACTTTTTGATGCAAAAAGTTATAGCATCGTAACTTGCTGTGTCTTACAAAATTAATAGCAACTGAGGACTACCAAAACTTCAGCCTTTTAGTGAATGTTTTAAATAAATAAATAAATATATTATATCCTCAAGATTATTTCTTACTTAACAGATAGATATAGTAACTTATTACAAATACTCACTCTCTTGGCTGGGTATGGCGTAGATGTCCAGCTCGGGTATGATACCCTCGTACCTCAGCGACGACTGTCGCGCGAAACCACGAGGACTATCAGGAGGCGTGTTGTAACCCCATCTGTGCAAAAACAAGAATTAATTAGCTTTTTTGTCAGGCGAAAATCATCAAATGACTTCTCCCGCCCAGGGTAAGTGTCAGACTCTTACTGACTAAAAACCCGCCTGTTCCTTCTCCTGTTCTGGGCCGAGGTCGCGGTGCCACATTGCCTTTGCCCCGCAACCCCGGCTGAACATCAGCCCTGTAGGGCCCCGTCAGTGGTGGTTTGTTGGATCTTTGAGGCGCGCGCGGAACACTACGCGCCGTACGCTCGGGTCTGGTTCTGGTCGGGCGGCGAGCTGCCCTTACTCGCCGACCGCAGACCCGCGCTTACGGTGGCCGGAGAGAATCTCTCAAGTATAAGTAGTTAAGATACACGATTCGGAAGTGTGGGAGAGCCATGCTTCGGCACGAATGGGTCGGCTCGACCGGAGTGATACCACGGCCTCACAGAAAACCGGCGTGAAACAACCACAGCGTTTTGTTATGCCATGTGAGTGAGGTTACGGAGGCCCAATCCTTCCCCTCCTCCAATCTCTCCTCAATCCCTAAATGTCCAAATCCCTAATCCCTAAAAGGTCGGCAACGCACTCGTAACTCCTCCGTTGCGGGTGTCCATGGGCGGCACTGATTACTTACCATCAGGTAATCCATCTGTTCGTTTACCTAGCTATTACATAAAAAAACTAACCTGTCTCCATGATGCCTATTATCGGTGTCACTATCAGTATCAGAGTCCTGGTTATCGGAGTCGTTCTCAGCATCCCTCTGCCGGGCAGCCTCGGCCTCCGCCTCGCCACGCCCACACTCGTGCATGCCCAGCAACAGGGAGTAGTCCATCAGGTGGAGCTTCGTTAGGAACTGTGTACACAAACATGCGTATTTAAATTTACATGTATTTATTACTAGATAATCTCATGCGATTTCATCCGCTGCTCTGCTCCTACAGATCGTAGCGTGATGTTTTATAGCCTAGCTAGAGCCTTCCTCGATAAATGGACTAACAAACAAAAAAAGAAATGTTCCATTTGAACCAGTAGTTTCGGAGATAAGCGTGCTCAAACAAACAAAATCTTTATACAGGGTGTCCGGTAAAGAATGGATAACCTTGCAATACCTTTAAGTATATCTTATGGCCATTCAAAAAATATACAAAAAAAAAAAATAAGAAAAAAAAATATATCTTGCAAATTTTATTTTTAAAGCAATGTTTAATCATCGTGGTTGTGCAGTAATGTAATGAACGTAAATGTTAAAGGATCATTTTGTATTACCTCTAGCCCCAGTTATTTTACTTCAAGACATTATAATTTAGGTACTACCTATGATACTTTCCTTTTCGTTGTTTTTTATGAATGGCCAAAGGATATCCTAAAAGGCATTTCAAGGTTATCCATTCTTTACCGGACACCCTGTATACACAAATATAAACAGCTTTATAATTTTAGTATAGATTACACCGCTTTTTTGGAGGGGACTAATTTATAACATGACTTCTTCCACCCTAAATAAAACTACACACACAGGACTAGAAAAGACTAAAAAGGTCTTGTGGCTGTTAATATTCGTTTGAATATATTTAGATGCTAAAATGATAGCCTGCCACAGTAACGCTATCAAATACTTATCATTGAAGATACAGAACAGAACACAGAAACACATCGCATTGTTCTTAGAGGGGAAAAAAATTAAAAATTATAAAAGCAATATCTCCCATAATCGAATACTTGGCTTTTTACCTAAATATTTCTAAACACATCATTAATACGCTAACTCAACAGTTTCTCATCACAAATCACAAAATCGATTCTCAACTGTAACTAACAAAAAAATATCTCACCTCTACATCAGCAGTGAGTGTCTCCAATAACTTCTCTTTGGCTGCATCACCGATATCAATGCGGACTCCTTGCTTGATAAAGTCGTTGTCCTTGAGCGTCGGCAGATCCTTTTCGAGCTCCTTCTCAGACGCCTCACGGTCTACCGTCGAACCTTTTAAGTCGTATTTCCTTGAAAGAAATTAGCATTAAATTATTTTAGGTGTCATGTCAGGCAGAAGTCATTGGGGTAGGACTAGTCTCTGCAGTTGATATCTTATAGCTGATGTGGTTGAAAGTAGGTATTGTAGAAGGGTTTATTTTCTTTTTAAACAACGTTGATGTGATCACAAATTAATATAACCTACATCTGACACTGACCCTAAACAACAATTAACAGATCACACAAACAGTTGTACCGCGCGGGAATCAAACCCGCGACCCGTTGTACCTCAGCTGTTTTCCAAGCTACCGCGCAAAGCGTATACTTAATATAAAATACGGTATAAGGCATTCCGTTTCATAAAAGGGAATTATTTGGAAACCCTTTTGATTATTAATTGGCTTTGCCATTAGAGTAATCAATATAACAAAGACACTCAATAAATTTTATCAAAACCTGAAAAAAGTATATATCGTTCAAAAAAGTTTTGTTATAAAAATAGAGGTTTCGTCACCCAACATCTAAATTGATTTAATAACAAATTTCAATACATTGAGACCAGTTATTCAAAACCTTATCTAAAAGGCAATATGCTAACAGCAAACTTTTGAATCCCTTTACAACTCGTCACAGGCCATTTTAAGTTAACCCTGAATGACCATATCGACTTGCCTATATGTAAATTATCTTAAGAAGATTAAGTACAAATGCACCGACAATAATAATAATAATTTCACAGTAACAAGTGCACATGCACTAACCAAGATGATTGACATTTCATTAAGCATAAGATTCATATTAATACAATGATAAGAAACCTTATCATTACAACTTGTACCTTGTATAATTGAATTTATTTTCAATTGTGTGAGTTGGCAACTGGAAAGGTAAGTTAGAACTTCAGCAATAAATATCGAAATGGCACTGATTTTTGTAGCAAAAATAGGTCCTTGTAGTTGATAAATTGAGATTATTAAAACCAATAATTTTAAATGATTTTGTTTTTTTTTTATGATCTGTCCCACACTGGTTTTCTTCGTCATATCAATGTTAAAATCAATTTTAACCTCTTTTCGAGTAATCTGATTGGTTGACTGAATTTTCAACAACCAATCAGATGACTTGATACATAGTTAGTTGATTATAAAATTGGTCGGGCTTTCGGAAACCGGGCAATAATTTCACATAGATACACTCATACATACACTTCACACTTAAACTCAGAATAATATTATGTGGATAAAAAAACCTACTGCAATTTTGAATCTTTGGATGACTACAATAAGACACATCTTAAAATAAATAGCACAGATAGATAACATGAGAATTTCACTCGTGCAAATAATAATGCATGAATAAGATTTCGAATATTGTGTTAAGCAAATAATGTAATGTCTGGTGAATATTTTTTAAATTACGTCATAATATTTATTAGGCTTATGACGACTACTTCTTCGAATTTTTAGTTCTTATCTTGAAAAAGAACTCGTTAACATGGATCCTATTTAAAATTACTATTTCTGCTTGATATCTTGATCCTATTTAAAAGAACTATGTGTGAAGTGTGGGAGAGCCATGCTTCGGCACGAATGGGTCGGCTCGACCGGAGTGATACCACGGCCTCACAGAAAACCGGCGTGAAACAACAACAGCGTTGTGTTTCGCCGAGTGAGTGAGGTTACCGGAGGCCCAACCCTTCCCTTCCCCCAATCCCTAAAAGGTCGGCAACGCACTCGTAACTCCTCCATCAGGAAATCCGTCTCCTCGTTTGCCGACCTATTACATAAAAAAACTATTGCTGCTGATTCTGACACGGCTGTATTGAAGTCACCTACCTAATTATATATCTTAATTTAGGTTTACAGAATATGTACAGTCGGGGTTGCGTTGTAAGTTAAGTTAAGTTACCAAGCGCAATAAGTTACCGCAGCCTCGGCCTAGAGCAGGAGAAGGAACGAGGGGGTTTTAGCCAGTAAAACTGACACTCCCTCTTGCCATAAGCCTTACGAAATAAAAGCACATTACTCCACAATGCACGAAGTAGTCTTTGAAAGAACTTATAGTGAAGTATCGAGCTTCAGGATGACCAGAGGGAGTTTACGATCAGCAGATATCGGTCGCTGATCTGGCAACGCATTTGTCGCGGTAATGATGATAGAACTTCTCGGTCGGTTAAAAATGAACCTTAATAAGACGCTTTTAGAATTCAGTTTAGCTTGAATTACCTGTGGATATTGAGGTGGTTGGAGAATACGTTTCTAGTAGCGACTAGGTAGTGTTCGATTCCGTCGACGGTCAGCCGGTACATGCCGAGGTACTGAGGCAGCAGGGTCTTGCCATGACGCTCCACGATGTACTGAAAATATGAGAACAATTATTATATTTGTGTAAGTTTTATGTGAGATTCTTTGGAGTTAGTTGCCTTTGCACTCAAGTAAAAATAAAGGTTGATTTCAGATAGAGTAATCAATCATTGGTTTGCTATTGAGCCAAAGATTTGACTTGATTAAACAATTCACCAATGTAATAATTAGATACTGGCTCATGGTCATTTTCTGACTTGCATATCATATAGCTTTATAAGTTTAACTTAGTTTAACATACAATATTATTATCCGATTGCAACGTTTACGTACAAACAAACCAGCCTATAATAACATCGTGGAAAGTTAAATGTGGAAGCGCCATGCTTGTTTCGGCACGAATGGGTAAGCTCGACCGGAGTGATACCACGGTTCCACAGACAACCGGCGAGGAACAAACACAGTGTTGTGTTTCGCTGTCAGAATGAGATTATCGGAGGCCTAATCTTTCTTTCACCTCTTCAATCCCTAAACCTCCGTAACCCTAATCCCCAAAAAGACCAGCAACGCTTTTTATGTGTATAATAACATCTAATAAATAGTGGAGAATCTGTGTATAAGCATTACACCCATGTGAAGCCGGGGTGGGTCGCTATTAACATAATTATAAAGTATATACTATAGGAAGTAAAAACATTATATATCTACTTTTTACGATAAGATAGCAAAGAGAAAATGATATGTACAACTTATCTTTGTATTGTATACATGCCAATAGATAAATCTTTCAATGATATTGCTATCTCAGAAATTATGTAGTTGACATGGAAGATAAATATCACGTTTTTATTTTGTTTGTATGCAATTTTATAGTAGTCGCATCACCTGGTGTTAATCGATCAGAGTTGCTATTGACACTCAGAACACTAAGAATTACAAGGAACTTTGGGGATATGGAGATTTGGGGATTTGGAGAAGATTAAACCTTCGGTCGATCCACACCACAAAACACAAAGCAAGGGTTCTCTCTCATTTCCTGAGAAGCTGGCTTCGGTCGTGGACACCCATACGTGTTGAAGCATAGCTTGCCCACATTTTAATATTTACATATTTAGGTGTTAGTTATAATTACTTTCAATCAGGATTATCAGGATCAGGTCGTAGCCATTGCGGTAGGGATTTAGTTTTATGGTGAATGTATTGTGATCATTATAATGAAGACAAACTTTTTTATTCGCCACAATTCAATTTAAGTTTGGTACCTTAGGTTTTATCAGGCAAAAACGGGTGACACCAAGATCCTTACACTTATAAACTTTATAATGATACTTACAGGATGATAATGCTTTAGGAACGAGTGCATCCTTTCCACCTCCTCAGAAGTCAGGGTCTTCAGGATGAAGAGCCTATCATAGCTCTGGTAGAACTTCGCGCCAGACTTGCCTGACGAGTCATCCGGGATTGGCTGAGATCTGTCAACAATTTATCGTGTATTAGTTAAGAATTCCTTTCTTATTTTTTTTAAGTCTGATTTTTCAATGGTTAGATAAAAGTTATCTGAGGAATAAAATTGTTGCTGTCACTGTCTTTTACAAACATTCTGACGCGACAGCATCATAATTATTCCCCAGAGAACTTTTATCTAACCATTGAAAAATCTGTCCTGTAGTGTGATATTGTGTGGCATACGATTTGTATGTTCTTAACATTTTCTATTCTTATTCTGTACAATAAGTTTATATATATAAACACGATTTATTTTATATATAATGTAGATATAAATACCTACTTAATACAAAATTAAAAACAGTATTATTGTTTGTTTTCCTTTATACATTATACTCGTAAGTCGTACCTTCGTTTTCTTGTTGTCCGTTGTCCTTTACCTTCATTTTTGTAGGTAAAAACCAACGCAGAAAACTTATATTAATGTATTATAATATTGCCTATTTATATACAACAGTGAAATAAGAAAATATTTTGCTACACAGGTGATGCAGCTGGGCAACAACTCTTTGTATGATTTACAAATTGTTGTTCCGAGTCAGGGTGTCATGTGTATGTCGCAGGGATATGATAAAATCAGGGATTTGGCCAAATCCCTAAGGGATTTGATCAAATCACGGAGGATGTTAAAATAACAACACGTTTTTATCATTTCCCTAAGCAAATCTAGTGATTTGACAAATCTCACTAAAGAAATCTAGTGATTTGAGCAAATCCAGAAATTGGTTCAGTGAAATGACAAATATAACTTTTGTGATATTTTTAAGGTTTATTTTCTAAGATTACCTACATAATTATAATAATAATGTGTATCACAATGCAATACTTATCTCAAAAATCACCACTAGAACATTATTAATTGAAAAAAGAGAAACAAAAATAAAAAAAATATAAGTGGAATAACTTAACATATCATACGTTAAGTTTAAGTTAAGGCGCGGTCACTGACAAGCAAGTGCGAGCGCGACGTTTTAATAGGTCGGCAAACGAGCAGACAGATTACCTGATGGTAAGCAATCAGCAAGCAACGGAGGAGTTACGAGTGCGTTGCCGACAATTTAGGGATTAGGGATTTGGAGATTTAGGGATTGGGGGAGGGGAAGGATTGGTCCTCCGGTAACCTCACTCACACGGCGAAACACAACGCTGTGGTTGTTTCACGCCGGTTTTCTGTGAGGCCGTGGTATCACTCCGGTCGAGCCGACCCAATCGAGCCGAAGCATAGCTCTCCCACACTTCGTAAACAAGAACTGGACATGTTTTATTATCATTTCACTAAATAAATTTAGGGATTTGTTCAAATCACTAGATTTGCTTAGGGAAATGATAAAAACGTGTTGTTATTTTAACATCCTCCGTGATTTGGTCAAATCCCTTAGGGATTTGGCCAAATCCCTGATTTTATCATATCCCTGCGACATGTATATCAAATTGTATAAAAACTTAGCGATAGGCAAAGTTTCTTTAAAAAAAAACAAACGCGGTACGGCTTATTAGAATCATCTTTACAATTATTTAAATTAATCAATCTCATAATAAAAATGAGATTTTTTAAATGTCTCAAAATAGAACCCTTGTGTGACATATTTTCTTTGTAATGTACACTTCAAACTCCAGATAATTATTATAAGCACATGTTGTTTTGAGAACATTTTTAAATAATATTATCTGAAGCCCCATAGCCACCCCATTGATTTTTTCAAGACACAACCTAGCCTGTCACCTTACATGATTTAAGGATTCCAACAATCTATACTATACTATTTACCAGATTGTATGTTTATAAGTTTGTATGTAGGGGGTAATCTTTAAAAAACATCACGGTAGGATGGAGCCGAGCAGCGGGTGAAACCCAGCGAGAGTAGCCATATGCTATACATATGTCTAATTCTGCCTAGGTGTTTATAAGTTACAATGTAAAAAAGAAAAATCACATACACACATGAACCCTAAAAACGAACACTCCTTTTTTTGAGCAGTCGTGTAAAAAGAAGACATTTAAAACTATTTTAATATAGGATAGTAACAATCGATGAACTTAGTACGTAATGACATATATGCTAATATTATAAAGAGGTAAAATTTGTAAGTTGTATGTAGGGGATAATGTTTGGAACCGTTGGTCGGATTTCCGAAATTCTTTCACTGATAGATAGCTACAATGTTCCTGAGTGCTATAGGCTATTAAACATCACGCTACGATCCGTAGGAGCCGAGCAGCGGGTGAAACCGCGAGAGAGTAGCTAGTCTATATATAAAAATGGATCGCAGAATGATAAGCGCATTACCTACTCAACAACGACTGGACCAATTTTGCTAATTCATATTTTGTTGTGTTTGCTATTGTCAGGAAAAGGTTCTTATCAAAGAAAATATTAGAATAGTAGAGGGGAAGATTACGAAAAGTGACCCTTTAATAGCGAGATAGTTGGACCCGTGCGAAACGGGGGCGGGCCGCTAGTTTTTTTTTTATATACAGATAAATATCACAAGACTTATATATAAAAAATAACAATCATTATATTAATGTATTTCTATAGAGGTATACTACAGGTAAACATAAAATTATATTGTAAATGGAATATAAATTACAATGTTTGATAGCCGTTACTACAAAAGAAATAGCCTGCCTGTTTATGGGGCTATTACGCTTGTAGTATAGATAAATAGCCGGTTTATAGGCAATAGACTCAGTTATTCAGATAGATCTTTATTTAGGTCTTAAAACGCAGGCATTAGTTTCTTTGTTATATTAGACATCATAGCGTATCGGCCTTTTAAACATGAGTAGGTAATGGATAATTTTCATGTCAAGATGGGCTCCAGACTTGAAAGTATTTTTTACACGCGACAAGAGAGCCTAGGGCTAAACACTGGGCACAATCCCCGGGCTTATTTATAGTGTAAGAAGGCAAACTAACACCTGGTTATACGCAATCGTAGCTAGCGATTTGAAGATTAAAGATTTGGAGAATGGGGGACTGGTTGATTGGGGTTGAGGTGATTGTGATTAGGTCACCAATAACCTCACTCTTCATCACCATCAGCCGGAAAACATCCACTGCCGGACAAAGGTCTCCTCCAATTAAAGCATTGTTGTCCCACACTACATGTGAAGGAGAATATTTTAAATACTTATTTTAATACAGTATCCCTTTCTACATATTAACGTTCTTATACATATACGTTGTTAACGCTTAAAAAATTAACAAGTTTTAATAAACAACCAAAATGGGTCGTTTCGTCAACAACAACTTAAGTTAGTGCGTACAAACAAAGAACCAATGACTCACAAGGCATACGTCAATATAATCTTACGTATCTATAAACATATTTATATTACGTCATTTTTTATTATAATGAAGTCTTTGATAAGCTTCTTAATTCTTACTTCTTTGTTTTAAAATAACAGAAAAATAACTACTACCTACATAATATTTAAAGTCACGTTTTAGTGGCCCGGACTTTAAGGCGCCCGCTTCTCAGGGTTCGAAACCTAGCAAGTACCAATGTGACTCTTTCAGAGGTACATGTACTTTCTGTGACTATTTAGAGACCACTAACATACGGTGAAGAAAAAATAAATTTGAGCAAGCCGTATTTTTTTTTTTTTTTTTGGTGAGGCAAATATCCTCAGACTATTTCTCTCGTCCAGTGACGGCGGTCGGGCGGCGAGCGACCCTTAATCGCCGTCTGCAGACTCGCGCTTACGGAGGCCGGAGATCGCCTTTAGATCTCCGACGCCCGGAGTGTCGCCTACAGCGGCGGCTGGGACGTGAGGAGGAGTATGCACACTATCACGAGGTCCACCTACTTTCCGACTTTCCGAGCATAACTGCTTCACAGAAAGAGGCGTCCCAATTCCTGTCACTCGTGGCCTCGGCTAAGGACGGGCGCGAAAACCTTATCCGTGTGAGACGAGGCATTTGTTGTGACGATGTATTTCAAAGTTTAATAATTGGCAATTTTGTACCTTATCAGGATATCGCTTGAAAAGCATTTATATGAGAAAGAAAATTGATGTTTAACCTTTTACACCTTATCAGTACTTTAACAAATAAATATTTCAAGACCACTGAATCTAATTTCTACAAAATCATGTGTATAGTAACACTGTCCGTACAAAATTATATCGAATTACTCTGATATAACTAAAGAGTCGCTCACACTTGGACTTGCGTAAATCCTACTAATCCACAACCTTCCTCAGACTTACTGCATTAACGAGATTAACACGAGTAAATAAAACTAAAACACTAAACTTCTCTTTTTATTCAACAACAAATAACTATAAAAAAAATAATGACAGGGTTTAAAATTCAAATTTCGAATCAGTCCTTCAGGTACTCACCTACTTAGTAAAAAAATAATAGACACGTTTTTTTTTTATTTTATCGTAATCGAAAACAATATTCGTTTAAATCTGAATTAAGTTTGGGAAGTTACTATCTCACCCCTCAGTATAAAATATACTATATACTGAGTCGTGACGTCGTACGATATTTTTGTTATCAAAACTTTATTTATTCTTCATATACCATAGGTTTCATAACTTCCCAACCAAAGTAGAGGGCATGTTTGAAAATAGAAACTCATTTGCTGATGTCTCTTAAATAGAACAGAATCAGTCTCAACTAGCTTCAATATTTGATCAGTTGATACATGAATTTAATAGCCAAATCCATCAACAGAACAGACATACCAATTAATGGGTCCAATTGGGCTCTTGACAACGAATAATATTTAAAACATGTGTACAACATTCGAAGTGACAAAATGGTCATATTTATATTAAATCTGTGCGAGACTGTATATTGTGACGTGACGTTTTTCACGTATTTAAACTAATATTTTATTACGTATCACTACATAGTCTAAAACAAAATCGCCTTCTTTGTCGATATATCCCTATGTATGCTTAAATCTTTAAAACTACGCAACGGAATTTGATGTGATTTTTTTATAGATAGTGTTGATGAGGAAGGTTTATATATGTATAATAACATCCATTAAATAGTGGACCCGTGCGAAACCGAGGCGGGTGGCTAATAAGGAAAAAATAAAATACTTAAGTAGCTATGTCGCAAACTAAAATTAATGAAAGTAAGTATTATTATTTTATAACTATGTATTTCACTGCATTACAAAACGAACCCAATTGGATCACACATAACGAATATTTTCCAAGAGGAATCTAATTCGCGCTAGAACTTAAACAAGATTGTCGCAAACCCGACCTTACCTTGACCTAAACATTGATTGTAATTAAGCAAGGAAAAAATTAACGAACCCGGAAATTGTTTTATCTTTTAAATGAATCAAATACTTCGTAATTTAGTTTGGTGCTAGAGTTTTTTTTGTCAGGGAAAGTCATCAAATGACTTCTCCCGCCCAAAATAAGGCGAGAGAGTGTCAGACCCTTACTGACTAAAAACCCCCCAGTTCGTTCCTGTTCTGAGCCGAGGCCACGGTGCCTCATTGCGCTTACCCCGCAACCCCGGTTGAACATCAGCCCTATAGGGCCCCGTCTGTGGTTGTCTATTGGCTCTTTGAGCCAAACGCTCGGGTCTGGTTCTGGTCGGGCGGCGAGCTACCCTTACTCGCCGTCCGCAGACCCGTGCTTACGGTGGCCGGCCGGAGATCGTCTCTCGTTGGTGCTCAGACCTAAGGCCCGGTTTTGTACAAATTAAAATCGTGTAGGGTATCAATTAGGTACATGGCATCACTATATTTTCATTTTTTTTTATACAAGTAGGTAGTGTTGATATCGTGTCTACTCACTTTGCATTTCGTTAAGGCATAATATAATTAAATATAATTTAGTAATTAGTAAAACGTACCATAATCAACCCAATGATCAAAGTAATCTAGGTAAAGGTTATGTGTATCACCGAAAAAGTAATTCCAGTATAAAATAATGGGTAATTAGTTCACACAATCTCTAAATATCATTTTATAAATTCATCGTGTGTGTAAAATTAGAATTAAGTTACCAGTGTGATATAGTGAATCGTGAATGAATTTGTGATAACAATCTTGCACATCCTAACAAGTGAAAATTAAGGATACTCAAAGAAAATTACAGATGTTCGCAGATTACAGACTTTTGTGAGAAACTCGTTATGACTCAATTCAACCTCATTTCTCTATTTGTCTTCAATCTACATAGACAGCATTATAAAAACATCCTATATACAAGTAGCTGCGTCTTAATTTAACACTTATGTCCTCGGTCCTTGAGTTTCCTTTCATTTGTCAAGTAACATAATGCAATTTGATTCATGTGATGACTCCTCATTAGTCGTGTAAGTGCGTAAAGATGCCAATTAACATAATACTTACCAACCGGTGAAAGTGCACATGAATGTGCTTGCAGCATTAATGTGCACATGTCGTGTTAATGTTCAAAACATAAATATACATAAGTAGATACATATATATGATATATTAAGTAATCAAGACGTATGGGACAATTGCAGAGGTTAAGGAACGTAATATGAGGTCACGGTCAATCAAGGATCGAGGCACTCTTGACACCCATTTAACCTAAACTGGAATGGACAAACGGGAGAATGGGCATACAGTAACCAAAATCCAATAAAAATATCCAATTCCATCCAAACATGGAGACCATCTCTCATGGAGGCCCCTTACAAGCAGTTAGACAAGGGAAATGACTTCACAATACAGCCAGTGAACGTGGTATAATGCTATGCTCGCCGTGTCAGTTCGAAAGGCACACTACATACTGTTATTTGAGAAAAAATAAAACTGAAAAAAAAATCGTACAGCTGCTTAGTAAAACTCCGCTGACCTCAGGCGTTTTATCGTCAGCCCTCGTTTGACGAACTCGCTTGCATCGTGGAATATGCTCTCTTGGTGCGTTTCATTTTTCATGTTGGCAACCCCGTTGGGCGCCGTCGCCGATCGCCGCAGCAAGCTGGTAGGCCTCTTGTGGGGCCTCGAACACAGGTAGTTATCTGGCTTTCTAAACCTAGGGACCACAGGATGGGATGTGGGATGGAGGACGGCAGATAATACATATGGGAATAAACATAAACATAAATAAATATATATTCAATAAAGAAAATCAGAATTATCGTTAGCGTATCACTCGTGCCATCCACTTGACGTCGGGTATTGGCTAAGGCCAGGTCTTATAGATAGGGTTGTACCTTGTTAGGGACTCCTTGTAGTCGAGATCATCGATTCCGAACCTCTCCCGAAGGTTCCTGAACACCAGGGGGCAGTACTCCTTGACCTTGAAGTGAGATGGCATGTTTTCTCTGAAACAATCATTGATAAATATGAAATCACTCTTATATTCAGTACCTAAAGATCATGACATGATTATGTACATTGCAGAATTTGAGGTTAGATATGTATGAAAAAAAAAATTTAGAAGTAACCTAGCTGCAGAACTATCTGACGATATGCAGCTACCTGTCTACTTCTGTTACGATATCGTATTTAAAATATACGCAGACTCATTATAGTATAATTAACTGGTTAACCCGACTGACATCTCATTTTTTTCTCGAACCAATTTGAAAAATCTTTCAAATTGCCGAATTGGCCCACTCTCCTTTAATTTTGCGCTTAGCAACACTTTTTGCAATTCATACTTTTACATAGATTTATGATAACCACTTATAGTCTCTGTAAGCTGATTGATTTTATTCAGACACATCATAAGTACATATTGTGGCTAGATGCTTCGGCCCGAATGGATCGGCGACCGGAGTGATACAACGGCCTCACAGAAAACCGGCGTGAAACAACCACAGCGTTGTGTTTCGCCGTGTGAGTGAGGTTACCAGAGGCCCAATCCTTCCCCTCCCCCAATCCCTAAATCTCCGAATACCTAAGCCCCAAAAGGTCGGCAACGCACTCGTTACTCCTCTGTTGTTGCGGGTGTCCATGGGCGGTGCTGATTGCTTACCATCAGGTAATAAGTACGCTCTTTTGCCGACCTATCACATAAAAAAAGCCTTTATCTATGAATAAAAAATAAAGAATGTAAAAGTCTTGAATCTTAAAATAAACCATCATTTGAGTATCCGGACATTTATCATTCAACTGACTCACATGTCATACTGTTTCCAAATTACCATACGTAGGTAAATCCTTTGTGCGATAACAGCGAAATTTTATTTCGCGGAAAAGATAAACAGTGTATTAAAGCTATATCGATATTAACAATAACGCCTGCATTTTATGCCTTATCTAGGAGGAAACTCTATTCAATAATAGTGTTATAACTTATAAACGCAAAACTAGCTCTACCAACGACTTCGCCCGTGTTACCCGGATGAAAAGAAGTCTATGTTATTCAAGGGTATAATCTATAACCGTCACGATTCTCATCAAAATCCATTCAGTAGTTTTTTGCGTGAATGAGTAACAAACATCCATCTATCAATCCATACTTATAAATTAATATTACCTAGTAGGATATATAAAAATCATGATAAAAGTACACTTGGTTTTTCATGCCTAATCCTTCCCAGATGAATATTAAACATGCGTAAAGGTATTAAGAATAATGACATTATACAAATAATTTTGTTGCATCAATTAAATATTGACGCACCATGTAGGTTTATTAGTAAAGAGATTATAAATGGTTTAATAGACCTTAATTGCTCTTAGATTAATGATTATAATGATAGTAGTTCCTATTTATGAATAGCTAGCTAGCATCGAACCGCGGTTATATGTAGGTATAACCGCGGTTCTAATAGCGCTAATCCTAAGCATCGTAAAGTCCTACAGGATCGTCAGAATTTGCCGAATGGCCATGAGGTGTACGTAAATTGTATCTACAGAAGAAAGTCATATGACTGCACAGTTTACGCGGTGGCTGGGCAACTGGCTATTGCCGCATAATACAGCTCTTTTTGTAGTCCACAAATTGCTGTACGGGTTTTTGTTAAGAGTAACAGAAGAAAATCAGTAAATAGCGCCGCCCACAAACCAAGAGGAGTCAGCCAGCCAACCTTTCAACAAGTACGCTCGTTTCTTGAAGGTTTCAAACCTTATTCGTCGTATTGGTTCGAAGATAACGCCTATTAAAATATTTGCGAGTGCGAGGCAGAAAGCTTCGCGAACGTCGCTGACTGACTGCCATCCATCTATATAATGGGTATGGAAGTGTTTTCACGCGGATCAATAGTAAAAACAAGCGGCGGGGATTACAGCGAATAATTTCTCGGAGCACTCTTCGTGGTATAAGCACAAGAGAATAAATAGCGAGACTACATCCTTACGCAGCGCCAAACAGCCCAGTTTTTTTTTAAGAATACCGAAAAGTTTTTACTTTGCCCTTTTATGGCCTGCAAGTACTAAATACTACTCCAAACAAAAACGTACTTAAGGAAGTCAGATTATAGATAACAATGTTTTCATATTATCCTTATATTCCACTATCACAATCAAGTTTTCACATTATGCTTATAAGCTTCTCAGTAATAGATTGCTTATCAAAATAATTCTGATACATATTACTAGTTCATATTATTTATCTACCTGTACTATTCATAAAAGTTAATAAGTTGTTGAGTCATCCAACTATTGAAGAATTAAAATCTCTAATAATAATGTAAAACCGAAGTCTGATTGTTTATTTGATTGAACATGCCAACCTCTAGAACTACTGGTTGATACTTCAACAATTCTTTGTGTGGGATAGTCTATTTATTAAGAAAGGCTAGAGGCTTTATAAATGCAGAATGGATTATCGTCGAGCTATCTCGACTAGTTTCAACCCACAACTAGGGCTCATAATCATGAGCAGCAAGCACAGCAACGTCATACACATTAGCCAGCTAACGTCATTGTAAGCCCATGGTGCCCCATAGAAAATAGAATTTGTCTCATTTTGAATGTAATAGAATGCCATTACATCAGAACAATTAGGATGAAACAAAAGATCTATTGTTAGTTTTACATTTATATAGAACATTTACAAAAAACCATTAATATTCCAATTTTAAATTTTCCTAATAGTTGTAACATTCTAAATAGCTAAGGTAATATTTTTTTTAATCAAAAAAGAGGTTAATTAGTGCCTATGCATGAAGTAATCAATTTCCTTTGTCCTCATTTTTAAGGCATTAAGTGACAAATGGGAAGTAACTGCTAATACATATTTTTGTACATACTTACACTTATTAAATGATTACAGAGGAAAAAAGTTTATTTTAATTGAGATAATTGAAGCACCTTTATTATTAATAAATATATTTTTTCTATTCTATGATAATTTTAAAATGATTTCTTAAGGCTTTACATTAAAAAACAAGTTGTTCTTTCAAATAACACTTACCCACCACTTAGGTACTGTTGCAGGCAAATACTCTACTAATAATATTTTTTTTAATTTAAAAATTAAAAAGCTTAAAACATACTTTCATCCACATGTCCTTGTGATCACAAGTAATGGCCCTAACTAATGATGCTAAACTTAATTCTTACTAGCAAGCAGGCAATCCAAAGTTCCCTCGGGCACCTTCTGATTCCAGTAGGTGACCATCTCAATGGTACTATATAAAAATAATATTGTAAGGTCATCTAATCTACAAATATTTCCCAAGTTTCATGATGATGCAACAATTATAATTTTATATTATTTAGATTCTTCAATTTTATTACATAGTTTATTCCCGGTCAACCTAATAAAAGGGTTTTAAAAATCATCCTACAACATCCTACACAACTAAGATTCTACTGCAACCAGGAAATCACTAAACAGGTATTTATATTTCTTACATTTTCTATGCATTATCCTTTATCCTTAATTTTTATTGTCAGCTTTATTAAAACTCACTACTTCCTAGAAGGAAAATCTATGTAATAGTTGTATGCAATATTGTAAAACATACTACAGACTAGCAATAACTAGCATGGAAATAATATAGTGTCCTTGAATATGTGTCTATGTTTACAGTACAGGCAAATTGTAAATTCTCTCAAATTTATTTTTGAACTAAAATCTAATGTAGGTATGTTTTCTTGTGTTCTTTTTACAATGGGATGGTGTTGCATTCTAAATTTGAACTCTGGCTCCTTTTGTTTGAAACCTATTGTTAGAGTTGTGAATAAAGAGTTGCAATGAGAATTTAATAACCAGTATTACAATGACTACAGTCTAATCATAGACAACCAGACCAATCATCAAAGCTCTTATTTAAATACAATCCAAAAATCGGGCAGTTTACAGTTAAATTTTGAATAATTTAAAAATATAAAATAATACTAAAAAAACATTGTTCTTTTAAAATAATTTGTTATTTAAGATGTATGATTTAAAATTAGAATTTATATCTTACTTGTTAAATAAGTGGTTGTCAACTTTGAGCTTAGAATAAGCTCTGAAGTCATCAGGGAGCAGCATGACTGGAATTGTGACATGACTTAGCTCGTTAATCTGGAAAAAAGTAGTTACCATTAATCCTAACTACATTTTATGCTAATATTGTTGTCACCTATATTTTCGAATATATCGAATCTATGTCCAACGCAATAAAGTTTAATAGTCTATTTATATTCAATGGCAAGGAGACACATAAAAACAGTGTATTGACAAAGTGCCAGAACTTACAATGGGATATTGAGCCTAAATGAAAAAAATTTTGTTAGGTAAAAATCCGAATGTAAACATTGTAAAACCACAACAAACCAGTTGTGGGGGAAATGACATAATAATGATGCTTCGTTCGCTGAGATAGTTTCAAATAGGATTATACACCCGCCATACTATTGCAATTAGTGCATAAAATATCAAGTAATTACCGTGTGATTCACACCCCACATAAACACAGACAGTAATGGTTCATTTGCACGAAACAGTTTCACTTTTTGGTGTTTTACACGAATATGTTTCTTCTTCAATTTGCTCAATCCAGTGCTAGGAACGGACATTTTGGAATTGTTTACAACTTTTACCAGAGTCAAAAAACCACCACTGTACGTAATTTAAAGCGCGAGACAATAATTAAACCATTTTTAGTTAACGGAGAATCTTTTAAATCACAAAGAAAGACGGTCAAAATGAGAAATTTATAGAAACTCGACACCCATCAACAGCAGCAAACGGCTTTTTGACAGACAGAGTCAGACACAGAATGAAAAACTCAGTAAGTACCTTCATACATGAAGTGCGAATAAAATGTGAATCGACTAAATAGAGATGTTACCTTTTAAAAGTAAATGGTAGATTTTTTTGAATTGTTGGTAGAAATCAATTTCACATTCGATCATAAAATTATTTTAAATCTGTTCATTTGCCATTTTATCTAGATAACTAAAAAATATAAGCATCGTCTCAATCACCACCATCACACGACGAGACTTATTTGAGAAAATCAGTCTCGCATTGTCTTTCGTGATTTTGTGAATCAGAAGTCCATAAATACATCTTATAAATAATACCAAGCATAAGCAAATATTTTCACAGACGTATATGACTTCTGTGATAGTATTGTATGCATAATTATTGCATAGTTACAAATAATATTCAACAAGTATAATCACAAGACCACAATCCACCAAGTTAATTTTTGAGCTGGCAACAAAGTTTAGTTATGGTTTTGAGCTTTGAGCCGGTCGTTGCTATCGGCGGGGGGGTTGATAGTTGATACTTTGATAGACAACGATTTGATTGACAGTTAGAAAATATTTTACTTCTAATGGTCAATTTATTGTACAGTGGACATTGAATTATTAATTAAACACTCCTGTATATTTTATAGTAGTGTGTGACAAACGAAACAATGATAATTCCAAGCCCGTTTGTTTACTGGGCCCAAACTGAGAGTACCATTTCATTAAAGATAGAATTAAAAAATGTTGTTGATCCTGATGTGAAAGTTCTCGAAAATAATGTAAAATTCTCAGCTCAAGGAGTTGGTGCCCGTGGCGAGAGTTTATACGAATTTAATTTGGATTTATTTTCATCTGTAAAAAATGTAAGTATCACGTTCTTATCAAATAATTTTATGCTAAACTAAATCCGGTTTATCTACGATTTAAATAGATTAATATTCGTTGATTGTTTAATTCTCGTTGCTATGAGAATTTACATGTATTAGTAGAGAGAGACTTTCGAAAATATGTGATACTCTAATATTCAGACAAAATATTTATTTATCTTTTCTCTATAGAATAAGATATTAAATAATAATCATATTATCCTGTAAATGGGGACATAATGAGTGAATGAGATAAACCTAATTAAATACTGTAAAGCGAAGAAAATACAATCTTTTATGTTACCAAAAAAAAAAACATCACCTGTATTTTATATTTCTATTCATATTAAAATTTTGTCATACATTAAAAACATATTATAAACAAGGTAATTGTTTGAACAATAGTTACATAAAACTTGAAGGCCAAATTATTATTAAACAGGAAATTATTTATACTAGTTTTTATGCTTTGCAAAACAAAACTCAATCATACTTTAAGGATTAAAAATCCATATTTAGTAATGGTTAGAATATGTTTCTTTGTTTGTGTTTCCCTCACATTACATTCATGAGACCTTGATTATGGTGTAATTTTGTTACTGGTGATTCAAAAGTGTTACTATGTTATTCATTTAATTGGAACAAATATTAAAAGTCACACTTTGAGTGTTAAAGGTTTCGTAATGAGCATATTATACAATCAAAAATAAATAAAAGTAAAACCAGGTTTTTACCATACATACAAACAAACATAGGTAATATCAATAAACTCTGTCTAAAACAAATTTCAAAATTAATATTATCTGCGTTTAATTCCAGGCGGAAAACAATCATGTTACCACAGTCCGTGTGTTTGAGAACCGAGTGGACATTGTCTTGCAAAAAGAGAAGGTAGCATGGTGGCCCCGATTGACTGCTCAGCCACAGAAACCAGCATGGCTAAAGGTAAAACTTATTAAGAAAATAATCACTTATAATAAAAAGAATTGATAGATATCATCAACAGAAGTCCATTTCTTTCACAACCAATATTATCCAATAAAATAGTGGTTGCACTATACAATGTAATCGGGTACACAATCGGATATCTCAACTAGTCAAATTCAATACTGTTTTCAATTTTTATTTATTGAATGGGTTTTGACATACTTTCAATTAAATTAATAATCATAACGGCAAGAACAAAGCTATTATAAAAAGTTATAAGCAATATATCAAAAATTAATCAGTCAGCAATTTGTGATTTAGTCTCGTCTCTAATTTAGTTATTTCGTCTTTCTAAATTCTGTTTCGGTCATGATATAAATATCAGCATTTATCAATTACGAAGTTACTTTAAAATTGGTTCAATAGCTTCCATATTTTAGACCCGAAAGTTTCTGTGAAAATCAGTGCAGCATAAGTAATCTCAACTTAAAAGTATTATATGCAAAACACTGTCGAAACTACGCGAAATTTATGTTATATTAGAATATACAGAAAGATATTCACTATTTAGATGTTATTTTATCAAGCATCACTAATTGACTTATCTAATACATATTATAAAGATTAGAACTCCGTAACGATTGGGATGCTTATCATAAATATTTGCAATCAACATGATAGCAATTAATATATAATACATAGCCTTACATAGGAACAGTTACATAATGTGTATGTGAAATTTTTGTAGCTCTATAATTTGCTGAGGAACAAGGCTTTGAGTAATAATATAAATAATGACTGGTCAATTATTATTATTACTCTCTTAAACTATGTGTATAATTAGGTAATAATTAAATATGGCTGTGTAATGTGCAACATAATAATTTTTATTTTGCTAACTGACCTTGTATTAGTTTATCCTTACAATAACAATACAATGACAGTATTTACAGTTTTGTTTTCTATGTATCTGACACAACCTGACCTATGCCATGGTTAAACTCTTCGATTTTTACTTCCAAGTTTTGTCAAAAACCAATCCTCAATAATTGTTTTGGAGTTTGTAGGAAACATACAATCTACAAAACAGCTAGTTTGGAGTGGGAGAGTTATGTTTCGGCACGAGCCGGCTTGACCTGAATGATACCACGGCCTTAGAGAAAACCGGCAGCAAAACTTAAGTAGTGTTTTGCCATTTGAGTGAGATTATCGGAGTCCCAAAGATCTCCCCCCCCCCATTCTCAATCCTCAAATTCCCTATCCTTAAATCCCTAATAACCCACAAGAGGCGGGCAAGGGCAACGCACTTTTAGGGTAACTCCTTTAGAAATAATTACGAGTGTCCGTGGGCGGCGCTGATTGCTTACTAAGTATCATAATAATCGGCCAGCTGGTTAGGCGACCAGTGACATAAAAAAATTTTATGAAAATTACTCTTGCATTTGTCATTTTCTTGATCTTTACATAGATTGTGCTGAGTTGTGTGTGAACTAATGTTCAGAGAGCTTATTATAAAAAAAAAACATTATTAATTTACAGATAAACTTCGATTTATGGAAGTCAGAAGACGCGGCTGACAGTGAGGACGAGAAACGCGACGTGATGAAGGACTATCCGGGGATGTACGACAAACTGCATAAAGAGGAACTGGGATACAGGAGAGGTTTGTTGGATTTTTTGTTTGGTACCTTTGGGATTGAGGGCCAACTAGAGCTTTTTTTATATAATAATTCGGCGAACGAGGAGACGGATTACCTGATGGTAAGCAATCAGCGCCGCCCATGGACACCCGCAACGGAGGAGTTACAAGTGCGTTGCCGATCTATTAGGGATTGGGGAAGGGTCCGGGAAGGGGAAGGATTGGGCCTACGGTAACCTCACTCACACGGCGAAACACGACGTTGTGGTTGTTTCACGCCGGTTTTCTGTGAGGCCGTGGTATCATTCCGGTCGAGCCGACCCATTCGTTCCGAAGCATGGCTCTCACACACTTCTTTTTTCATTTGCCGCACATGCCATGTATTCCAGCATCGCCAGAACCAGATGAGTTTGTTGTTGCCGACCTTTTATAGAGGGCTCGGTTTTGCAAACTTAATATTGAAGTCATTCACTAAAAAAAAACATATTATGACGAGGAGTAGGATATACTGTCATAAATAAATTAGTATTACCTAGTAGTACCCCTGATCGTCTTTTTTTGTGGGCAATTATTATCACATGATTTAACTCGCCCTGTTAGTCTTGCGCTTAACCTCATTGAGCCCCGCCTGTGGTGTTCTGTTGGCTCTTTGAGGCAAATTTTTTGCAAAATTTTGTCATCGCAATAATAAAATGTACATTTTTGTTTATAAATCCGTAGGATATTATGTTAAGGCAATCAACAAAGCAATGCCTAATGAATAATCACTCAAATGTCATTCGAAATTGTGGCACGAGTGTAAAGAATTTCATAAACAAAATGTCTGGTGATGAAACGTACTTAGCTTATAGTTTGGGCTTCTGGCTCTTCACTTTAAATGGCTAAAAACAACATAGTGTTGTTTCAAGCCGGTTTTCTGTGAGGTTGTGATATCCCTCCGGTTGAGCCCGCCAATTCGAGCCTAAGCATGGCTACTTTAGTTAGCATGATACAAAACAATTGTGTTCTACTTATATTATCTACTAGCTAATCTCGCGCGGTTTCACTCGGTGATCTGCTCCATTTTATCGTAGCGTGATGTTTTATAGCCTATAGCACTCAGGAACATTGTAGCCACCTATCAATGAAAGAATTTTCGCATTATGATTAGCGGTTCCAAGGAATAACCCCCCTACATACAAACTTACAAATACCTCTTTATAATATTAGTATAAAAGTATAGATAAACGCAAAAGTTTGAAGTATGAATGGATGGGTGGATTTTTGTTACTCTTCCACGTAAAAAATAATGAATGCATTTTGATGAAATTTGACACAGACTTACATCATAGTCTGGAATACCTTTATCCAGGGAACCGTAAATTCGCTGGCTAAAACTAGAACATTTATATACTTAAATGGTATGTGTATATACCTATAAGTTTTTTGTAGAAATGCTATCTGTACTTACTCGTATATACCAGTTTACCTAAATAATGTGCATTTCGACACTTGATTTGAATAGAATGGCAATGAATATGTTTGCATAAAGTATGAATATTTCAAGTATTCGTTAAAATGAGTTTCTTACTTGTGTATTCTTCCTGTTATGTACAACAACTAAGTTGATTTGGAATTCGAAGTAACTAAATTGGCTTTAGTTTTTCACTGCAGTTGGATTTATTATGTCTGGGTATATCCGTACATGAACTCCTGTGTTGTATCTAAGGCGTTCTATTTCAATAATGTCCTTTATGTAGGCCAATCACTCACTCGTCCTTGACACCATTTACATATAATTAAATATAACACGTATAATGAAAGGCAAATGCTTAGTTAATTGCGAACTATGACTTTACAATTAATGTTGCACACGTATTTTTGTACAGTAACTATCACATATAATGTGTGTATATGTATATAATTCACAAAATATAACTAGATACTTATATTTTTTACTCAGAGAAGAGGTTTAGTTACTTTAAGAAATCTTGTATTTAATTAAAATAACATTACATTGTACCCTCAAGCATGAGGATGGGGTTTCGATAGCTGACGGATACCATTTTGTTTTAGTTATAAAATGTGTAGTTTCTAAAATTAAATATTAAATAATTTTAGAAACTACAGATTTTCACACACCAATGACGGAAAAAATCACTAATTCGCCTTGGGCAAATACAGCGATTAATATTCAAACCTTCTCTATATGAGCCTTTACTCAGCAGCGGATACTTGTAGGTTGATGATAATGCGTGAATGTAAATCTTCCGTTACAGAGGACCTCAAGAAAGTCTACCTGAAACTATACAACCTATTCCAATTCATCGGCTATATGTACGTGTTGACTGTAATGGCGATACGGTACGCTAAACTGGATTACGACTCTGTAGCTGATACTTATGAACATGTTGGACCTGCCATGAAGTTCTTACAGCTGCTTCAGTATTTAGAAGTCATGCATCCATTGTTCGGGTACACTAGGGTGAGTTGTTGTATAAAAATTATTCTGAATATTTGTTTAATAAGGTTCAAAATTAAAGTTCATACGCTCCATAATACAACTCCTTGTAATTGTAGCTTTTGCTATCTTATTGAGGTATCAAACAACGTAAAGGATGGATAGGAGGATTAATTTGAGGGGTAAATAGATACAGAAAACAGCTAAATACATACAGGAAAGGGGTGAATAGATACAGAAAAGAGGTGAATAGGTATAGAACAGGGGTGATTTTTTTTTTATGTAATAGGTCGGCAAACGAGCAGACGGATTACCTGATGGTAAGCAATCAGCGCCGCCCATGGACACTCGCAACGGAGGAGTTACGAGTGCGTTGCCGACCTTTTAGGGATTAGGGATTAGGGATTGGGGAAGGGGAAGGATTGGGCCTCCGGTAACCTCACTCACACGGCGAAACACAACGCAGTGGTTATTTCACGCCGGTTTTCTGTGAGGCCGTGGTATCACTCCGATCGAGCCGACCCATTCGTGCCGAAGCATGGCTTTCCCACACTTGAGAAATGGCTGAATTTACATCTATAGTTAGATTTCCTTGCCGCATCGGTGTTTTTTTTTTCTATTTTATGTCTGCTGCCTACATAGTATAGTAAGGTTTGGTCAAATATGAATGTAGAATACCTACATTTTTGTCTAAGTTTTATTATAAAAATTCCAGGGTGGTGTACTGGTGCCGTTCTTACAAGTGAGTGGGCGAGCGTTCGTGTTATTTGTAATGATCGAAGCGGAGCCCCGCATGCACACTAAACCCGTGGTCTTCTACCTGTTCGTCATGTGGAGCATGATCGAAGTCGTCAGGTGAGATCTTTACTATAAGAACATAGTTGACCAGCTCGCTAGGAGCCAGGTTCATATACACACCGTCCAAATTTGCTTCCCAATATGACTTAAGTTAGATATTGCAAGTATAGGGCAACTATCGTTGGACAGAGACAGAAGTCTTCATATAGAAGTGAAAGAAATGTAATAATAATACTGTTCCTATAAAATGCAGGAAATCGTATAAAAAAGACTAAAGACCCATTACGTACTCCACCCTATCCCTTAAACTCCTAATTTTCACAAAACCCCAATCCACAATTTTTCTATCCTTAAAACGTGAAATAAAAAAACTCGATATTTGTCTATAATACGACCCAATAATAAAAATAAAACTTACAAAAACTCCAAAATTAAAATTATGACTTGACTTATACTTTTTACTTTTAAATTCCAGGTATCCCTACTACATATCACAGCTATACAAAAAGGACTTCTACATCCTAACCTGGCTGCGTTACACCATGTGGATCCCACTCTACCCAATAGGTATCATCTGCGAAGCCATAGTCATTCTCCGTAACATACCGTACTTTGAGGAAACACAGCGGTTTACTGTCTCCTTACCAAATGAGTGGAACTTTGCTTTCCATATGCCAACCTTCCTTAGAGTATACCTTCTCTTCCTGACCTTCCCTGGAATGTATTTCGTAATGAGTCACATGCACAAACTACGTACCGTCAAGCTGAAGCCAAAGATTGTCATTAAGAAATCCAAATAAGTAAGACTTTTACATGAAATTTAATATTCTATGGTATATGGGGTAATAGATGTTTTAGTCAAATTCAAAAAAGCATTTATGGTCGTGGATAGAACTTAGGATTATAATTTTTATATTGTTTACATGGTATATGCGGCTTTATCACATAATCGAGGAGTGTGCGAGTAGTTTCGAGCCACGATAGGTTTTATAGGCCCTGGCGTTACTTGAAATTATTCGAGTAAATAATTGTAATAACTTTCATGAATATATGCCATTAGCATGCCTCGAGATAGCTTTGGGAAAAAAAAACAATTTTACTTTGCATTCTTAATATTATGCTCAAATCTGTTTTGTGCGTCTATCAGTTTAACTATAGATAACAAATACATATATGCAATTAAAACCTGTATATGTGAGTCGGCCATTTCTCCTGCCATTTAGCCTTTCAAATTAGAATAGTATTGCCGAGCTTTGTAAAATATAGCCAAAATCGATAGGCAGTGTTATTAAATGTTCAGTATTCTGTATGTGCTATTGATTAGCAATTTGCACATTATTATAAAATACAACTTATTTATTGGGTTTGTATAGTCTAGAAAAGATCTATTATTCTACAAATTGAGTTGAATTCCATGCTTAATGAGATATTATTACAAGTAACATGACCGATTACGAATTTCCTTATGTTTGTGGAATGAAAAAATAAATAATAAGTAAAAAGTTGATTTTGCAACATTTTTTCTTTTAATGTCGTATTTATGCCTACATAATAGAAGTTCAAATCTATTGAATGGCAAATAAAAAAGGTTATTTGTGTTTGAAAAAATTGGCATTGAAATTATTATTTATTTTATTAAAAAAGGTCAATTTATGCTGGTATTGTCTATGATTACAAATTATTTATTTATTTAAATAATCAAGGATAAGGTGCGCAATTACTTTGGGAGCCTACAGGTAGGCAATTATGTCTCAAATTTAAAAACTTCCATTTTTTATATAGTCTTGGAAATTATGAAAATACAGTCTTGTCCCTTTTACACTTTAAGAAAAAAATTAATATATAAATAGATATAATAATTGTACATAGTTGTTGCATTTGAGTGGGAAACTTATTGGGAATTGAGCTTTATGTGTGTGTGATACAGTTACTAACAGCTTGTACCACTCAATTGCATAATTTTTATCAAATATATGGTATTAAGAAGCTTACATAAGTATGATTTGCTGGAGTAATTTCATTTCAATGAAGTGATGAATTTATTTAAAATGTTTATATTGTTATTTATTTATTGATATGGATTTGTAATAAATATTCATATCAGTAAATAAATAATGGGAAATGTATGGAGTGATAATTTATAAGTATTTAATATTTATGTTTACATTTTTCTATACTCGATGGTATGGTGACAGTAATAAATGTTTTGTTAATAAAATTTGATATTGTTTTATTGATACAAATACATAAACAAATTTATGACTTTACAAGACCTCCTTTTTCATACAAACTAAACTACTACATAAATAAAATAAAACACACAATATCATCCTATGTTTTATTAAAATGAAATCAACCTACAAATCAATTCACAGTAACTGCACTTGTTTTTATCAAGTAACTTCACAAAAAGGAATTAAGATCACCAGAAGCTGTAACCAGCGTTACCTTCTTAAGAGCGCAGCTTGAGGTATGCACGTTGGAACCACTCCCAGGTTCCAGAGTGGGCGTAGTACTCATGGAAGATGGGCTCAACCAGAGTGTCAGGGGGAAGGAGCTTGTATACCTTCTCACCGTAGTAGGTACCCACCTGAAAAGAAATCGAACCTTTAGTAATGGGGATTAATTCAACGGACGCCGGCGTCCGAGCACCTATTGTTCTTATATTGTGTCTCGAATTACCACACACGGTAGTTTCCAACTAGTCTAATTCAATACTTTTATCCAAATGTCAAAAACTATTCTTTTGATGAATAAATGATCTTCTTGATGATCTTTTGATGATTCGATTGATGAATAAAAGTATAGTTCTTTTTCAATATTTTACTGTATTGAAACATCGAATTAATTTATTTTTGACCTAGGAAACTACCCATTTAAAAGGTTAAAGTTTAAAGGATTATATTGGTAGATTACTTTTCGACATTAGATACATATTTTTTCTTTTCTTACTAAATCTAAGATTTTCGATGATACATTGCTCCGAAATAATTTGAAAAGTCATATACATTTTTATAATAATTGTAGAAGCAAGTAGACTTCTTACTTGTAAACTTTGTTTTACCAACCCATTATTTATTCAAACATCATCATCATTATTTAAAATACCTTTATGGGATCTCAGATTACTGGAATGTTAAGAAAGAGATCTAAAACCTGACTAACAAATTAGTTAATTTTATTGTAATTACTGATGTTATACGAAATAAGTTAAAAAATTGTTTTTAGAATTAAATATATTGTTATTTCACTAAATAACAATAAAAGTAAACAGTTTCAGCTTTAGATTTTAAACAAGAGTTTGTTTATAGAATAAATTTTACACACAGTAGGGAACTGTGTGTCAAGTTTAGTGTATTAATTGTTGAAAGAATGTAAATAAACATAAGTTTATAAACCTTCACTTTAATTCATCAAACCCCAAGGAAACGCTGCATTTACACACCTATTGTACTCGAATTGTGACTCAAATTACGACAATATGAAAGGTTAATAAGTCTAACTATTTGGATGAATACTCACCTCCCATCCAGGCACATCCTTCATGAGCTCCGCCTCTGCATCACGGTTCTTACGGAGCTGCTTCAGGTAAGCCCTGTCTCTTTCAGCCAGCAACATTGGGTATATTGCCATCTTGGCAGAACGCATCTCAATTTGATCCCTCACTATTTGTTTGTAATTGAGGCTGTACAGGTACATTGCAAATGCTGTTATACCAAAGTAACCAGCAAACATAGTATACCCTGAAAAACAAACAAATATATTAGTAATCATGCGAATATTTTAAATTCAGATCATTTTTAGTGTGAATATTTTATAAGTTGGTGAAGATATCTCTTATAAATTAGTTTTATCACAGTAATCAATAAATATTAGAGGTCATTGACAGTCAGTTGCAATGGTGTTTACTATTAAAAAGGCATAAATATTAGCCGTTTTATTGTCATATTAAGGCATAAAATAGAAGTTAATTTGACACAACATTAAAAGAAAGAATGAACATAGGAGCCTGAGGAGTAGAGAAAACAAAACAACCTAACCTAAAAATGCAAGTTACATAATCTGATATTAGTCTTATTTAGAGAGTAAATTTTGTAAAAGTTATATTATACTCACCGCTAAATAAGGTTTTTGCAGGTATTCTTTTGTAAGGAATTGGCTTGTAGCCCCCCGGAGGGGGCAAATCTTGTTTTCGGGCTACCTGACAAGCCTGATCCATCTTTCGATTTGACACAAGCCTAAAAATCAAATCAACAGCTGACTGACAATTCTCCTATAAGACGTTCCAATTCTCACAAAATCTTAATCAATTGCTTAATTTTCAGATGTGAACGTCGAAACATAATAAGTTTTAGATTTGTGTTTTTATAATAAATGAATATTATGAATCTTAACTAAGTAAATAATATAAAAGATTTACTCACACCTGTTACAAAAATATGTACTGCTGTACTTAGATTATAATGAGAATCACCTATAAACGGAAAAGTTTCCCTAGCAACTTGTAACAATATTTTGTCAATCATTTGTGTAATAATACATTATTTTTCGCGTAGTAAAAACTCAAAGTAAACTAAAATGAACCCCGTTGACAACAATGTAGGCGTTCAAGCTGATATACCTGAACCTGAACATGAGGAAGAAACTTTGAAACTTAGACCTTTAGAAAGAATTAAACTCCCTCCGAAAGCTCCCGTTGAAGAGAGTAGTTATGGTAAAGGAAAGAATTTCAGCCGACCATGGATCCTACAAGACGGACGTGAAGCTCCTGACAAAGGAAGCGAAATGCGTCGCTGCTATCAAATACCGAAAAAACCACACCGCGCGGAAGGTATTGGCAAGAACTTTTTAATGTAGACTTTCGGCAGTTCCTTCTAATTTTTGCAAAGCACAAGATTCAATGCTTAAATTGTGTCACTCGCCATCACAGCATCTAATACCTGAAAGAGCGACAGGGCAGAAGGTACTGCATCGTGATTTTAGTTAGGTACCCACTTTTTCCCACTACCTACGTTCTCAATTCCATGTGATGGGAGGTCAGCCTTTACTCTATCCCGACTTCGTGCGATCACCGATTTTCTCCAAAATCCGAAAAAGTTTACGACTTACGAAACAGTCTTTCCACTCCATGTTCTTTTCAGGTATTCGTAAAAGAATGTTGACTGATTTTTTTTGGGAACAAATGTTGGACGAAGTTATCGACGAGTTGGCTACAACTCAGCAAGATTCGGATTTTTGCACGGAATATGACACTAATTACATCAAGGAAAACTTTGAACCTCGTAATTTGGAAGTTACTGCTGACAAAAATGTAAGATGGTTTATCAAGATTAAAATGTTTTATATTATAACTACCAGACCATAGTACCTATATAGATCATAATTAAACATCATGGTCTTTATGTCAAGTGATCTGTTTCGGTAATTTTTGCTGTAAGTAAGTGATAAAATATTGCTTGGTTCTTTACTTTCAGATGCATCTCAAATTTCCTTTATACGGTACTGGATCCAGCGCTATCACTTTTTACAGCGAAACCATAAAGAAAACTGGTCCAGTAAGTAACATTACTTACCTAGTCCTAATCAATTTAGATAACTATTTATTTATTTTGCTCGGGGACACCCGGCTTAAAGTTCTTACGACGTGTAAGAAAAGAATGCAACGTCGTATCTACATCTGGTGCTGCGGGTGGCCATGGACGATGTGATCGCTTACCGCTAGGTGTTATTTATTTTTGGGATGTTCGTACTTCATTTGCCTCCTATTCCATAATAAAGACTGTTTTTTCATTACAGGGAGAGATTTTAGAGAAGTTTCGAAGATGTCAGTATTTTACTCGTCCTATGGAAGAGAGATTGGATGATGGCTGGGTTTTGTAGATGAATTTATTAGCTTCCATACATGTTCCAAGTTAATTAGATACTTAAATTCAATTGTAGTTGTATTCAATAAATTTGTCATGAAAGCTTTTTTCCCTAATGATCAAAGTCAAAGTCAAAGTCCTATATGACTACATGCGTACCTACGTAGTTAGGTAGGTGATGTGTTTTTACCGATCTATAACAAGCGCGTACCTTAATTAAGGGTGCATGTAGGTGGTTCTAACTCACAGGGCTCTAAGATAAGAATGGGCGTTCCGCAGGGTTCAATATTGGGTCCGTTTCTCTTTTTTTATGTATATGCTTAGCGCATTTGGTACTTGACCCGAATCCAGAAAGCATGCATATTATTAAAAGAATATTGTACGTAATTGTTTGCAAGACCGTTAGGCTAAGAACTCACGGAGCGATTTTCGCCCGCGTCCGCTGCGGTTGTGGGCCCGCAGCTTCTGTAGGATTCAAATATTTATATAAAAAATTAAAGAACTTTTCACGACGCGTTTTACGCCCGCGGTGTACGCGGTTGTATGCGGCTCCCGCTGTGCCGGCGGGCAACTAGTAGAATCGCGCGGGCCGCGGTTACCCGCAGCCTCGGCGGGTGGCACCCGCGCGCTTTGCGATCGGTTGGCGAGCGACCGCAGGGGCCGGCGGGTCTTCCGTGAAGTAAATATAAGGTAACGGCTCGTTTCTGGTGTGTGTCCATGGCGGTCTGGACCTCAACTGATCGTTAACCGCCCGTCTTGCAATCTTGCAATCATCGCCCGCCACGTTTGCGGGCGATCATCGCAACCACGGCGGCTGTGTAACCGCGCAAATAACCGGTCTCGTGAGTTTGGAAATAAAACCGCAGTTCCGCTACCGCGGCGGGCACGGTTCAAAATCGCTCCGTGAGTTCTTAGCCTTAGTAAAGCTACATAAGTCTTGGAGTAGGTACCTACCTAAATTAGTTTTGTCGGTTTGTTAAGATAACGAAGTAACTACCTACCCAAAAACTTACATAAGACAGTAGGTACCCTCATTGATGGTGAATAAAAAATCTATAGAAAAAGTTATAGAAAGGTTTGTAAAAGAAAACAAAAAAGTCTTTAATATTTAAATAATAAATATACTGAAGAAAAAACAAACGCATTATCACCTACTTACATAGCATAATTAAAATAAATAAAATAAAACATGCTCAGCCACTACCTACGCTTTACAAGTTAAGCTTAAAATAGGAGATCATCATCATCCCAGTTGTGTGGATAACAGACGGGCTTGAAGTCACCAGATTCCGTGGTGGTGGATAATGAGGAGCATGCCAGGATGCTGGTCAGACATTCTATCGGCTCGCACTGAGGAGGCAGATCTGGCTCTGCTTCTGTGTAAAATAGGGTAACATTATATTTATATTTTCAAGGAACTTGGTAAAGCGTGGTATTAAGTGTGGAATAGCCATGCTTCGGCACGAATGGGTCGGCCCGACCGGAGTGATACCACGGCCTCACATAAAACGGTGAGTGAGGTTACCGGAGGCCCAATCCTTCCCGTCCCCCGGTACCTACCTAAATCTCCAAATTCCTAATCCCCAGAAGGTCGGCAACGCACTAGTAACTCCCCTGATGTTGCGGGTGTCCATGGGCGGTGCTGATTGCTTACCATCAGGTAATAAGTACGCTCTTTTGCCGACCTATCACATAAAAAAAGCCTTTATCTATGAATAGAACAATGATTGTCACTTTATAACTCGAAAATGGTTCTATCTATCCACCAAAAAAATGTTTATGGTTTGATCAGAGATTATAAGTAGGTAACTACCGACCCCTCTCTGCTTCGCACCGTTGCAATGCTGATGCTATCTTAATTTCTCCATTATTTGATGGAGGTCACATATTATTATAGGAAACACATCAAAATCTGTAGCGGCATACATAAGGATATAGGGACAGAAAAAGCGACTGGTTTTCAACTATATACTGATCAGATATCATACTTAACTAAGGCTATCTATACCTACTAATATAGGTGCTGCATGTGTATCAAGACTTTTTCCTGTATTGTGGGTGTTCAATTTTTCAATAGTTTTTACGTGACATGGTACCTAGGTGGCAAATATAACTATCTCTATAACTTGAATGGGACTTTCGAAATTGGAACAGCTCTTTCTGTGATTCACCGAGTCTGGGTGTCATTAATTGTTTTTGTAAACGCACCCACGACACAGGGAAAATATAAGTGTGAAACAAGGTTTGAAAAAATAAAATTGATTACTATGATGTCTTTATATACCATCGCCTTCTCCCGTTTCACCAGCGCCTCCAAAACTGGCCGACTGACGCAGTTGTACGGCGCGCGCCTGATTTTTAACCTTCTTAGCTTTCACCATTTTTAAACGATGAAATTCTTCTCTCTCCTATTTTAGGAAATAAGTTAATGTACCTATGTGGATATCTTTTCAGAGGTAGAAACTGTGCACATATTTAATAGTTTAAATGAAGAGTTACCCTTTCATCCATTTCCATCAATATGTAAGTTTCAGTGTTGCGTAATTTCGGCATGATAACTTTTTCAATACCATTCACTTTTCTGTTGACATTTTATCAAAAAATTATTTAAAAATGTTCTAGTTTTAAGATAAAATAATATAACAACAGTGGTAGGTAAAACGGGGTGAATGGACGCTGAAAAGGGGTGAATAGAGACTGGGAAAATTCGTCAACATCTATATAAGTACCCCGTTTTACGGTAAAATATCCAAATAACAAAGCAAAAATACATCAAGGGATAATATTTCACCTTAGAGTAGACCTAATGGATTCATCCAAAAGGATACAAGTGTTTCTCAATGAGGCAAACTTGACGAGAGTTCGCACGGCCTCCCTGAATGCTTTCTTGGCCTCACTGGTGCGATGGCCACCAGCTCCAAGGCCTGCATAGCACATTGAGTCCCAAGCCCCCACTTCTTCTAAAGCTTGAAGGGAAATGGTGGCCACACCTGATATGTTTTCCGGTATACGCTGCACTCGAATTTGAGCCTGTATGTAAGATTACCTAACATCTTATTTAGATAGTTTCAAGCCCAAGCAACACAAGTTGGGGCGAATGCCGCGCAGTCAACTGCGCAGTGGCTTAATATATAATTAATTTATATGTCTCATGAAAGCTATAATACAAAAACGATTACCAAAAGGTTTTTGGCAATTGACTTCGGACGGTAGACTGTTTATGAACGATGGACATGTCACATAAGTATTTTGGAAACTTTTATGAAGGTATTAAAATGGGCGCTAAGTATATTTTGTGAACATAATATCTCACTTGACCAATATTCTCAAGCACCAATGCATTCGACTCGCCGTTAGTAAACTTTATAGCAGCCAATGATATGTAAGCTTCTCTCAAAATATGGCCCAGAATGGCCTGCGTCGAGGCCAATTCTGAGGCCGCCTGTCTACCCCTCATGCGAAGAGCTTCAGCCTTTCTCTTCAGGAGCTGGTACCCGCGATTTACTTGCTCCTGTCTGTGTTTTATTTCCTTCAACATAAAAAGAGACGCAGTCACAGGATAGCGATTATCAGTATTCATTTTCGAAAATAATTCCGTAATCAGACTATTCTACGATAACGTCTTTCAATCAATGCCAACTTACCAGGGCAAATGACTTTTTGTCGAAAAAGTAAAAAACATGTGTCAGTTTTTCGTACTAGAAACTTTTTTGATATTAAAAATTGTATTTGACATTAGTTGTAGGTACGTGGCGCTAGTGAGACGTAAGGTCTTTTTGTTGTTTTTTTATATTATTAAGCAATTGATCAGTCAATTTTATTATTTACATCTACCTCGTGGTTGGACCTTATGCCTCATTAGTGTACATTACACATCGAGCACTTTCATTAATGTAGAATTAAAAGATAGAATGCAGTGAACAGATCTTGTGCTTTCGGAAAATATTTCTTAGTGACTATTTATATTGGATACAAGTTATTGTTTGTCACGACTTATAATCCTATTTAGTAAAATGACAATGGCTACAGAGAATTTGTAAAAATAAAATACAATCTCTTAATTGATCTTTTTCATTCTCATCCAATGTAGGTACAGCCTTTGAATAAGTTTTTTATTTTAAGGAAAAAATATGGAAATTGTAAACAGTGACAGCGATATCGATTACTCAGATTATTCACAATCTTTGACCAACTTATTCGTTTCATGAAATCTTTATTAGCAATTCATCAGCCTATACTTATCCTTTTGTGGACATGTTGGAAATATTATTACTGAATCGAATTAAAAGTCGGTGTATAGTGTTCCTTTACTGTTACGCAGGTTCATTCACATCAAGAGTAATGAGTCGGATTCAATATCTTACATGTTTTGTCTATTACTTGTGAACTTCTGCACGACATCAAGTGTTAAAACTACTAAGGTGTAAGCCTCTATTTTTATTTTATTGTTTGACATTAACAATCGCATTGACACCACTGCTATTGATATTACACTGGTATACAAAGAAAGTTAAGACGACGCTTTATCCTTACAATAAAACGAAAAAATATAGGAAATACTCATTATTTCTGTCTAAGTTCTAAAATATTTCTTTACATTTTATAAATGTATATTTATAAAGCAGTCTCTCTTATTACAAATTATTCTACAGTTATCACTGGTCAAATTCAGTCCCAATAATACTTTCTAAGTCTCAGCTGTCCGGCCAATAGTTATAGCTTCCTGAGGGAGGGGGCACGGGCATGGGCGGCCCATTAGGGGGCGGCCCCGTGCCCGCGCTGTAGGGGGACCCTTGTGGGGACCCGTACCGCGGCCTGAACCAAGGTCTGCTGGTGTACTGGTACTGGTTACTCGCGTAAGCTGCCAAGTTTTGTCCCGTGGCGTTTGGATAAGGATTCTGTGGTGACTGGTTCGGAGCGAACGCAACGTTCGGCATGTTAGGGAGATTCGCTGTTGGATACGTCTGTGGCGCCGGCGTTGTCGACGGAGAGAACGACGTTTGAGAATTCTGTGATGTCGGTGTACTCGGTGGCGCATACGTCTGACTGGAGTTTGGAGTGGACCCGTTCGTCGGGTTGTAGGCGGGAGGCGGTTGTGTCGTGGGCGTCTGGCTCACGTATGCTGTTGTCTGGTTTCCATTCGACGTACCGTACGTCGCAGTGCCATTCTGGTTGGCCGGTGTAAACCCCGTCGTCTGCGTCGACTGTCCATCGGACGTGAACGTTTGCTGATTTTGCACTGTTCCCGTCAACGTGTACCCGTTGTCTTGTGATGAAGAAGTGATGTAATTGGTTTGACCATTAGCTCCGTTCGATTCAGTCTCTGTAGCCGTGGATTGTCCGTTGCCATTAGTAGGCGTGGTCTGTGAGACAGGTATACTGTATTGTACCGTCGCATTGTTTGTTGGTACTGTGATAGTTCCTGAGTTGCCTTGCATCATGTACTGCTGAGGTAGACCAGTGTACTGTGAGGTGGGGGTTATGAAAGAGTTTGGAACTATTTGCTGTAATGGAGGCTGTGTGCCGGGGATCGTCTGCGCTGAATTCGTCAAGGGAGACGATGGGGGCGGGGCTTGCACTATAGGTATAGTCCCTAGACTGGGGTTTAGTTGATGTCCTGCGAGAGCTGCGTTCAGTTGCTGTGCGGATAGCTGCGTGTTGAGGTTGATGCCCGTGGGCATGTATTGGGAGGTAGCTGGCATGTTCATGGGCATTAATGGCACGTTGTATTGTACTCCAGCGGGCATACCCAACTGGTTGGGTTGCATGACCGTGACGTTCTGACCAGGCTGAAGAACTTGCTGGAAGCCGGGAGGCAGAGCACTTTGCATGAGGTTCGGATGGTTGGCAGGTATCATGTACACCTGACTGTTGGGTGGGCCAAGCATGGTGGGGACTTGGCTTATGTTCAGGGGATTCTGTAGTACTGTCATGCCTTGTGGAACAGTGATCATTTGCACGTTCTGTGCGGTGTTCTGGACTTTGCTGAGGTCTTGCTTCTGTCCGTCTTTGCTAGTTTGTATTTGTATCGCGTTTCTATCGATCTGGCGAATGTACATTCCCGTAGCGTCTGGGCCTAGACCGGGCGAAGACACACTGTGGACAAAGTCACGTTTAGAATTTGTTTTTTTTACATGTTAAATTTATTATAGTTATATTAATTTTAGCTTTGCTTACTTCGTCTGTTGTCCCGAAGAAACTTGGATGATGGTCCCGTGTGCTGGATTGATTTTCATTCCCATGCTAACGATGGTGTTGTCTTTACCTGCGAAATGTTTCAGTTATAGAGCATGTTCTGTAAGTTAATTTAATCGCTCCGCTTTAAGCTTGTGCAAGAGATGCTACTCTGTTAGTTTAGGGGAAATTATCACTTAGGAACGCATTGCAAATAAACCTCTTTCAGATTGAGACTCTCCACAGTAAAGTAATCCTGTAAAGATATTATTGTGCATGTCATTTACGCCTTAATAACTAGATAATGACCAAAGCTTCAAAACCTAAACATACGCAAAAAGCATTGCATTGAATTATTATCTGACGCAGAACAGCTTATATCTGATTCGTTTGAACATGTTATAAAACAAACGCTTTGGAGGTATCTGGCTGGAACTCTCCTCTCTCTTCCTGTGGAACTAACTGCCCAAAAAAGTGTGACAAGATAATTAAAAAGAAAAATAATTTCTCTCCCCTCCGCTCAGGTCATATTTTAAGGTATCTGCTGTGTTATTACATAGTTCTGTAAGAAAAGCTTTTTATTAAAAGGTAGCATGCAGTTTAAAGATGGCGGTGTACACGAAGAATTTTGCCCCACGATGGTATTTGACTAAGAAAGAAGTCTAAAGTTCGTAAAGTGTTTGTTTAAGTAGTATGTTAATTTTTTTTACAAAAACTACATTTAAAAAGTGCCTGCCCAAAATATTAGACTTACGAAAATAAAGCAAAAAATTGAGTTTTACGCTACTGCGAAGTATTAGTCCATTTATAGCGAAAAGTAACTCCTCAAGTTAATTGTACTTGCTAATAATCTCCAATTGAAAATTTTACGAACAGTAAAGAACTAAAAAAAATAAAGCAATTTAAGGAGAATCATGCTTCCGCAGTCTCGAGCCAGCTCGCCGCTTATCTGGAACTGGGATGCTTGGCCTTGTGAGTGGGTTTTACCAGAGGCCCAATCTTTCCCTTGCCGATCATCAAAAACTTCCGTCAAATCCCTATGTGCAAAAACGCTGACAAAACACTTACGACTCATGGATGTTCATGTGTCCGACTGCACGGTTCCCGCCAGTTCCCGCCCTACCTCATAAAAAAATAGTTTGCCTTTTTATTTACGCTTATGCTTATAAAAAACCAAATGAAACGTTTGTACTTATATTACGCTTTTATCAGTGCTCAATTTATCATAACCATTTTTGTGTGAAATCATATTATAAATTTTATTGTTTAATAAACCTAAGTTATACGCTACGCTGCGTAGATGAGTTTAACAAAAAAAGTCAAAAGTATTATATATAAATAATAATAAACGCCTCTACTACGCATACGCAATGTGCGAAAGAGAACATTATAGAAAATATTGAACATCCAATTTCAAATAGAAAATTGATGAAATTTCCTCTTCTGCGTAAAATCAGGTTGTTTATAGGAAGGCATGCCCCATGTTCCATCGCGCATCGTACCACTAGGTTAGTGGCAAAATAATGATCTAACCAGCTCAAGAGAAGACCCCAATCTACATCATCGCTACAAATCAACAGCTAATCAATACAAACCTCTCGATGTTATTTAAACCACATTATAATACATAATAACAAATGCCGACCGGCTCGGCTCCAACTGCGTAGATCTTTTTTACTGTGCAAACTTACGGCACCCCTTTTTTTCTAGAATAAAATATAGCCTATTTTACTCGTGGATAATGTAGCTTTCGAATAGTGAAAGAATGATTAATATCTATCCAGTACTTTTTGTGCATCATTACAAATAAACTGACTAAGTTTTCCTCCTTATAATACTACTGTAGAATACTTCATACAGCCAGAAGTCACAAATCGAAGCCGAATCTTCACTCAGCCCTTGAAATCTGGAAGCTAAATTGGAAAAAGTTACGCAATGTAGCCGCTTTCTTACTGCTAGAAAACAAATATAAGCTTGATTTAAGGAATATACAACAATTAATTCTAAAACAGCAGGGAACCAGCGATGCGGGGAATGATGACTTTAAAAGCGTGCTGGATCGTGCGCTTTCAAAAAAGAAAAATAACTAAGCGACACTTAGCAAATATGTATTTGAATCTTACGCTTTTGCTTCAACATAAATGTATATGCAGATCAAGCAATCCCCAAAAGCTCTATTACAAAACCAATTTATTAAGTTGAAAATCTAAGTGTGACGTCACGAGTTGTCACATGATTGGGTAAATTTAATTTTTGACAGCTTCAGTGATTGGAGAGCAACAGTTTGCTATCAATTGAAGCGATTGAAAGGTTACCGTTTAGCTCTCTGATTGGTTGGTTAACTTTTGAATCAAACCAATCAGAGCGCCGAATGTATCGATCGGAATCGTAAAGCAAATTTGCCATTAGCCATCGGGCCCCGAAAGTCGCCCGACTACCCCAAAGATCTCGCCTGCTCTTGCAGGTAGCGAGCGAAACCACCAAGACAGGCGTCGGCCTGGATCGCGCGACCTCACGCCCCCAGTCGGGGACGGTGAGCAGACCACTACGACGACGATGCAAATTTGCACTAGGCACTCAGACCTCACGCTTCCATCAAGGGGGCAAAACAACGGTAGCAAATTGGGATAGCTTAATATGTAAGTGCACTTAAAAATATACAAATTACTGCAGAAGTTTCAATCTCGTTGTATTACGGCGGCTACCTGTATAAAAAGAAAATTTCGCAAAACGCTTCGTCGAAAACGTTTGAAGTATTTGTTTGTCGACGTTTCAACTAACACCGACCAAAATAATTTGCGAATGAAGCATTAATTGGTTGTAAGTAAGCGGGTGTCGGGTGCTGATTACGATACAAATAATATTTATTTATATATACAAGAGATGACTTGAGCTTTAATACTCCCATAATTTTAAAACAATGTAAAAGTGATTTTTTTTTTGCGTCGAAAGCCATGATTTCCCTAGTAAGCGATGTGTTGTTACGCAAACATAATAATATATTAGGTACGCTACTGCCAATTCGCAAAATAAAGGTACGCTTTGCAAATGAAATACGCAAGTTTTTGTGGTGAGATGGCAAATATTTGTAACTCTATACGCAAAATCTGCTGATGAACGCTTGATGAAATTTTGAATAGTTATCGCAAGCAGAATAATCGTGTTTAACTTCTTGAAAGAAGATCTTGACTAAAAAAACTAGAACTTTTGCATGAAGTTTTAATAATTAAATAAGATCGTTATTTAAGTTAAGATATCGGTACGTTTTCCGGAAAACGATTAGTCAAAATATTACGCTGTCGCGGGTAGAATGCTTATTTTTACTAAAGACTCTTAGAGGTATGTAATACATATGTAAATGGGTAGTATAAAGTTCAAATCATCTCGTATAAAAACAGCAGTAATCTTCAATGTACCTGGGGCCGCGGTCCAGGTGCGGGAATCTCTCGTCGAGTTCTTGTCATGGCTCACATGCGACCTGGAGCATCACATCGTTTCAATACACGCACACAATATTAAAAAAAAAAACACAAAAAATCTTCAATAAATTTCTCGGTGTATCTGTTGAGAGAATTTAATCTGTGGTTTCCGTGGCTTAAAAGACTTGTAGTCAAGGAAAATAATCCGTCTTGTAGATCTGCAGGCTGGTATGTAGAAATATAAAATAGTGGTATTCCGACTTTTGATTTCTTTTATTTGTTTAGCTTAGCAGCTTTGCTTTGCAGGTATTTTGTTTAAAAGTTAGGTTTAATCTCGAGATAAGAAATAGGTAGATAGGTAGATAGGTAAACTCAAAATTTGTATTTACTAAATAAATACAAATTTTGAGTTTGCTACAAAATTAAAAGTCAGAATATGTTTAAATATATAATTTTCATTTCTATTTTGAATAATACTATCAAAATGAGATATTAATAGAAAAATATGTGATTGTAGTGGCAATTTTATAAATTGTTTGTCAAAATAGCAATGAAAAATAAAAATTTAAATTATTTCTTCATTCTTCTTTGGTTCCCAATTCCCAGCTGTGGTTTTGAGCAGCTTCTATTTGAGCAAGATTTTAAAATTTGCAAAGAATTCTTATTTTTTAAACGTAACGCCAATTGCTTGACTTATATAGACTAAAACGAATTTTGAAATTAATTTTCTGTTCATAAATTTTTTGCAAACATTAAAATCTCTTAGAAAAGATGTTTGCTTTGTTTGGACATAAATAGCTACCGAAATTATTTGAAGACTTTATGACTTTTTGACCGATTACTGGAAGGCAAGTGCCACTTTGATAGCGAATTTTGATAGCAAACATTTTTCCTAACTAAATCCAGGTCTGAAAAAAGTCTGTATTAGCTCTTTATAATATTAATGGGCTAGTTTTACCTCTCTCATAAGCTCCAGATCAATAAAACTGATACAGATAATCTATACAAATTATCATAAGTATTTATTAAGTAGATAGTGGTTATCGAGATCCAGCAAAACTAGCCTTAAATATTAAATTGAGACACTTACACTGCCGGCGCTATGGGTCTCAATTGCAATTGACTCGGAGTGCCATCGGACAACCTCTTCTGACCTCTGGATTCCTGGCTGACACTCTTCGAAGGAGTAGATGTATTCTGTAATGTAAATAAGACTTTTAAGATGTACATATTTAATAGAAGTTAATTTTATGAAAGTTAATAAGGGTTGAAGCAATTGTTATCAAGTATGATTGAAAAATAAGGGAGAATTATGCTGAAAATTAAAAGGAAGCTTTTATGATTAGAAGTGGCATGGTTAGATATTATATTATTTGTTTCTTTTTTATATTGTGATTACAAAACACACCTACATTTGCCAACAAACTGTTCTGTAGTTTGTCAGAAGCGAGAATGTTAATTATTTAACTATTCCAACTAAAAACTTTTTTGACTTTTTATTTGTTATGACTATGAGTTATTGCATTGTTTAGTTCAAACATAAAAATGTGTTACAGTAAGAATCTTACCTAAAGACCTTAGATATGGTTTGATTAGTTGAATTCAATTTGTTTGTATTTATCTGACTACACCACTACAAATACTTTTTAATAATGGATCCCAATAACCTATTCATCTCTGGTAAGTAGGTACATAATTTGTATGTTAAAAATGAGTAATGGAAGATGTAACATTTTTTTTTCAGTTTCTTCATATTTTTTTTATTAGTACGGCCGTCGTATCTTTGCGAGTCTGAAGTTAGCCATTTGTCTGCGCAATAGATCTTTTAGGAACAAAATTGTGTACTGCGCAGCTAATCGGCTAACTTCAGTCAGACTCGCCAAGATATGTTGACGGTATTGTAAGTAATATTATATTATTATACTAAACTATAGTTATAGGTCTTTAGCTATTACATTGATGGAAAAGTTACTGGGTTTTAAAGAAAAGACACATGTAAGTACAGCTAAAAAAAATCTCAAAACTAACAATAACTCGGGATACAATGAAGGCTGCATTGAAAAAACGACATAAAACTGCAAAATAAATCTGCGAAAATAAACCCTATGCCAAACCACCGAAGGAATGTGAGGGGAAAGCTGCATTAGTAGTCTGTGCTAATATTAAAACCTAATGCTCACAGATATTATTTGTGGCGACGACGCTTGTCCAGTCGATATAATGTTTATCAAAGAAGCACTGCTTGCTATTGGCTGTAGGAAAAATTATCATCAATAAAATTTTTAAATAGCCCTAGATATTGTATTTAAAACTATACATCCTGTATTTAATTGTAGGTACATGGATACATTTAAAACTGTTTCTTCTTGTACAAAAATATAAGTAAGTATACATAAAATCTGGATAATTTATCAATGGAATGTCTGTATTGTATGTTTATTAATCAAAACAAAGAATTCTTTTAGGAGTAGAACTTATTGTTTTAGCTTGTATATGTTAAAATAAATCATCTATGTTACATAAGTATACATAATATACAATTGTTACCATAGTAAACTTTTTAATTACAATGATTGTAGTTTAACAACTAATTTCCTATATTAATAAAATATTAATTACAAAAGTACAATTTATGTTACCTTTTGATTTAGCTGCATAAATGTTCCTGTTGCCTGTAACTGCTGTAATTGTCCAGCGGTCAGAGGAAGTGATGTTTGAGGCAGACTGCCGGCTGGAGCTATCTGCAAGATACATTACAAAAAATTGGATAAAGTCAAAATAAATAATTTATATTTCAAATCGTCGAGTCAACATCTCCTGAGGATGCCCTGTGGAGGGGCGAAACACGTGTCGAGTATAGGTTTGATTGCGTGGCATGTTTTTCCGTTTTGTGTATGTGTGCATATGCATGTTACCCTTGCTACATGTGCATATGCATGATTGCATAGGAGTGGGATTGCATCCTGCAACAAGCCTGGATTTTTGTCACGGAATTAAAACTAAATATTTTCCCTAACATTTAATTTATATTTTATATAAAAATTATTTATACTTTTCAATACTGTGAATTATTAAAATATAATCATACTTTCATTCATTGATTTGATGGTATGCTTCATTTTAGTTTTTTTTTTATTTAGATTTAGGGATGATTTTTCATTGATTAGATAAAAGCTATCTGGGGAATAATATGATGCTGTCACATCAGAATGTTTGTATAAGACAGTGACAGAAACAATTTTATTCATTAGATAACATTTATCTGACTATTGAAAAATCAGCCCTTATGCTAGCAATATATTCAGATATAGGTAAGTGCTATTTGACATAAATGCATCACATCATTTGTTGCAATTTCATACTAAATTCATGGGAAGGATTTAAAATAGATTAGTTGGAAACTACTCTATTAATATTATAGGCACTTATATTTTAAACTATTTTTTACATTCATCTATTTTCTGTCTATATAATATTATTATGTACAGTTCAATTCCATCCAAATGAAGAGATTGCTTTTTTTAACAATAAGACTGCCTTTTATACTCATACATATTACTATGTATTTCTATCGTTTTGTTTTGTCCCGATGATATACAATAAAGAATGCAAAATACTATAAAAATATATGAGCCACAATAGAAAAAACATTGTTTTCCTTAGGTCATGAATACCACAGGTTAAAAATATACAGCAAGCATATCATTAATGTAGGTGTACATTGGTTTTAGTGATTTCATCATATGACTAACATTAGATACTTTGAAAATTAATGAATGTGAGATCATAATGCAGCTTAATAGTTCTTTTAATTCGCAAATAGTTTTCTTATACATCTTATACATAAAATTAAAAAAAAATGAGACATTAGCTTAATTTGAGGTTAAATAGGTAATAAGCAGTATACTTACAGACACAAACTGTTGAGGTTGAAAGTTTGTCAAGCCTGGTTGACCTCCCGTTAAGTCTTGTAGCTGCTGGTATGGTATCAACATAGTTTGAGAGCCAGGTACTGTCCACTGCACAGTATCAGCCCCTTGTATGTGATATTTAATATCTTTATCTCCCTTGTCAGTACTGTATAAGATCTTTTGACATGAGTTAGTACTCTGTGCAGCACAAACAACCGGAGTAGATGTTGCCGTGCTCACAGTTGTGCTGTCCGATGTCGAAAGACTTGCTTGAGGAAACGTTAGACCATTAGGTAATATCATTGACATAGAAGATGGTACACCACTAAGTCTTAATTGTGTCACATTCACTGGCTGCATACTTGATATATCCACTATCTGTGTCCCAAAATTTGGTTGCTGTAAACTTAAAGTTTGGCCAAGAGGCAATGATGTAAAGTTTGCATTTGAAACCTGCATCCCAGGTTGTACTATAGGTATTAGCTGCCCATTTTCCTGGTTTAGAACATATTGCTGCTGAGGTTGGAGGAGTTGTAACATTGTGGGTTGGCGCACTGTCATCAAAGGAGTTGTCGCAGGAGCTACACTCACTACTGGAGGGATGACGGCGGGGTGCGCAGTCGATGTTAACGTTGGCGGAGTCGACAGAGCTGCGGTCACGACAGGTGGCGGCACGGGCGGTGGCGCACTAGTCGTCGTCAGCGTCGGCGGAGGAACATTCAAAGCTGGCGGCGGCCCTCCAGCCTGAGCCGCACTCCATTGGGCCAATTCTGCCCGTATAGTCTCTATCAAATTCTGTGCTAGAGACCTGGCACCCGCCAAAGCTTCAGACCTGGTATGATGTAAGGCCAAATGCAATGGCTCAAGTTTATCACCTTTCAATACAGCTACCACACCAGTTTCCGATCGAATGTATTCTAAGTTGGTTCCATTCTGAAATAAAAGGTTTATTGTTTTATACGAGTTAGAATGCTGTAATGTATTATATGTATACGAAAACTTACGGGGCCTAGAATACGTCCTTTTATGTCAAATGCGGCCGGCGCATTATCCAGACCTATATAAACTTTATCTATAAGACCACCAGACATCATTTAAAATAGTTTTTTGAAGTATTTTATTACATTCAGGTAATTTTTGCGAAAAGCATCTTTCTTCCGCAGGAGGGAGAAAATGCGCTTTTGACATACAAGCGCGTCGTTCCGAAATACCAGTTAAGAAACCAATATTGATTTTCGTTATAAAGATAGTCATGAATATTGTATTCAAATAAATAAATAAATTCAAATTTATTGCTTATACATAAAATTATGTATTATGCTGTCTTACAATTATAACTTAATTTAAAATCTTGTTAAGCATGATAGTTTCTAAACGAAATGTAAAGGGATGGAATTCTCGACAACTGAATAAAAACTAAAATTCTCGACTAACTAACGCGCTAAGCACTTTATAGCAAAGATCTACACTTGATATTATAAAAAGATGTTTAAAGAAAAAAGATAAAGAGATGTTTAAAAAGACGTTGTAAGTTTGTATGTAGGGGCTAACCTTTGGAACCGCTCGTCGGATTGCCAAAATTCTTTCACTGATAAATAGCTACAATGTTCCTGAGTGCTAAAGGCTATAAAACATTACCTACGCTACGTTCAAATGGCGCTGAGCAGCGGGTGAAACCGCGCGAGAGTAGCTAGTTTTATTATAATTCTGATACGATCTTCGCTATTTCTTAAAGACATGTAATCATCAAATGGCGTCTCTCACCCAGGATATGGCGACAGGGAGTGTTAGAGTCTTATGAATAAAAAACCTCAGCTCCTCCTATACGATGCCGAGGCCGCAGTATTTTATTATATCTAATAAATATCGGCCTGGTTGGGCCCCATCTGTGGTGGTCTATTGGATTACACTGCGACGTACCTAGGCTCGAGTCTGGTTTTGGTCGGGTGGCCCTTGCTCGCCGTCCGCAGACCCACGCTTACATAGCGAGGATAGCTCCAACACGCAATCCGCCTCCTTTTTTGAGAGCATCACTGCATCGCAGTTCCTCTCGCTCCGCAACATGGCCTCGACTAACGCCGCTGATTACCTACTTCCATGAGGACACGGCGGTGCTCCGTGCAAGCAAGACTATATACCGCCACCTTATGCTCCACCGTTCTTCGGGTAGTCCTTACAATGACGGCACCTGGGCGTTTCCGTGTCCGGTAAGCATCTGCGTCAGTCTGAAGGAGAGCCACTCCTCAAAGAGGGGCCCTACCGCTAGTATAACAGCGTGCCCGATGTATCCATGTATATGTAGGTTGTAGATATCATCAGCATATCAACATCATCAGCCATTAATTCATCAAACCACAAGTGAACGCGTTCGCGCACATATGGTCTTACTATTGTGTCCCCAAATACTTACCACGATGGTTAAAGAGGTATATTACCTCACCAAAGAGGGTATGGAGGAGGGTTCATCTCATCAAAAATTATGGGAAAACTACCTAAGAGCGCTTCTGCTTCCCATTCTTAGGTGCATAACATACTTTGAAGGAAATAAGACAAAGTACAAGACAAGTAACTCCCATTGTAGTAGAAATATAATAGATACTTACTTTTTTATTTCCCAAAAATAGTTTTGTATTACCTACATTAATCTTGTCCTATATAAAGAACTGGAGTCCTTATTGTTTATACTGATGCGACAAGGAATTTAGTTAGGCTTTATATGCAATCAAAATCAATTGAATTAAATGACGCTGGTGCCCCGAGTATTTAATGTTAGCAGCAGGGGAAGACACGGGCTGCTATTGTGCCCATTATTAATTTAACAAACCCTACGTTTGAACCCTTTAATCTCCGATGCAAACCGAGGGACGTCGTGGTTGTATCATTGAAGGGGTCGATTAAAGCGGAGATGACAAAAAAAGCAGGGTGACGTGTAAAAATTAATATTTCGTTGACTTCGTCGTTCAACAGTCAAAACAAAATAGGTATGGCATACGGCCATGAATTCGGCGGCTACACGAATCATGTAAGATGGTAATTTCTAACTACTTATTCAACTAATGTTGTATGAAATCTCAACATAATTATTACCTATTATGTCATCATGTTATTTACAACTTCTAATAGCATAACGGAATAATGAAAAATAAAATAATAATATAAGCAGCGGTAGGCAAAAAAACCCCTCTTTGAGGGGGTGGCTAGAGAGACGCCATGGCGTCTTCGACCATGGCCGAAGTGGTAGAACCGATACGACCTTAAAAAATTCAAGCAACGAGCATACACCTTCTTAAAAACCGGGCAGCGCGCCTACCTGTGACTTCTCTGGTGTTGCAGGTGTTGGGCAGCGCTGATCACTTACCATCAGGGGCTTCAATTCCATAAAAAACGTAGGTATCACTGCGTGGTAGGTTACCACGTAGTACATTTAAAAATAATAGATATATTTTTTGTTTTTGCTCTCATTTTGTTTTTGGAACTCGGTTTTTCTGCATTACGTTGAGATGATGTCTGTCATAAAAATGCAATATTAGAGTTTTCGTCAGTGTAATTGATTCAGGCGAAACGAAGTTTTAATAAGAGGAAATAGAGACGACCGTTAAAGATTTTTTTTATGTAAGCACCTATTAATAAATTAATTTTGTGAATTAAAAAACTGTGAGCATCTTTTTTCATTTAGTGGACCTAGTTGCTACTTACATAAGGCGAAAGAATTTCGGATTTCTACCTAAAGGTGATCCAATAAATCCTCTTCTTCTACAGGCGCACTTGTAGGAAACCTAAAACATTGTATAAGAAAAATAAAAGGAAAGGGATAAATAAATACAATCACATTGCATATGTAATATCAATTTATATTTCTACAAAACATGATATGCTGTATCTATATTGTTAAACATTTATGAAAAAATATTACATCTCTGATTTGAACATGGGTTATAGTGTACAATTTTATACGAAACACAGTTATATTTGTCATGATTTCTCACATAAATATTATATTACACAGATCTATTTAAGTTTCACATTATCTATAGAACTTACTTGGGCTCGAAGTCTCGATAATTATAACAAAAATCGGTCGCAAACTTTTCATTTATAGGTTTTCGACTTTATTTCGGGACGTTAAGGTAGAAAATGGATTAAAGAAACTAGCAACTGAATTTTTGACGTAATTAATGTCGGGACTGCCAACCCAGTACAATTAGTTAATGAACCATTAAGAAGGTGGAAGATAAGTTTGAAACAATTAACAAAAACATAAACAACTTGATCACACTATGCAACTGATTTAAACATATAATTAGTTTCAGTAATTAATTAATTACTGCTTAAAACTATCACATTAATAACTAATTATTCTATTTTATGGGACTAGAAGATCAATTTTTACAATAAAGGCTTTTTATGTATTATTCGTAAAAAATATTTAATCCTATTTTAACTATTGAGATATTTAATTTATCTCTTTCAGAAGAATTCTTACCAAACAACACATAATGGTATTTCAGACTGAAAGACTCAATAATACTTTGCATAAACTGATCCATATGATCGAAGTAACACTACATAGTTATATACTTTACATATTTTTTTCTGAATAATACATTTTTTTTTTAATTTACCACTACCAAACATTTATATAGATATTTTTTTTAGTTCAAAACCTACACTTTTAGTTCAGCAGTAGGTAAATATAGCCTTGTATACATATATGTATTATATATATTTCTTAAACCAGCAACTCAAGGACGGAGACGAACTCCAAGCTCGTTTTTTTATTGGATAGGATATAACTACTAGGTTTTTTATTACATTAGGATTTTTGAGTGTGTCACAATTACCCTGAGTCCAAAATATATCTGGAAATCATGATTGATCGAGATACTAAAGTTTTTTTTTAAATATACTGTTATAGAGTTTTCTAGAACTTTCTTCACTTTCCCTACACGACATTGGAAGCACTTCTTTAATATTTCAATCAGCCGTACTTAATTTTTTTCTTTCTTTTTATCACTACACCGCTGCATGAGGTAGACGGATGATAAAAAATGAAAAAATATACATTTGTTTATTTGTACATAACCTCTAAATCACAATTCCAAAAGGCTATGGGTCAATTTAAGCTGCAATAGAACCTACTTACAGTAGGATAGTCATAAATATAAACTCTTCCTAAACATTTATAATAGGAATCAGCCATTTTGTATGCAGGTAAGCGAATAAAGATTTTATTCGTACTCAAGTCAAGCATAGTATTTTTTATTGGGTAATAAACGACCAGACAGATTACATGCTAGGTTATCACCGCTAGAGTTTGTTTTGAGAATTGGGAATTTTGGGAGTTTTGATGGTAGGGGGGAGGTTTGGTCCTAATGTTACATTTTTGTTTTTAAAAAGTTTGGCTATCACTTTAATTAATCTTCTAATCTGTATAACAGAATCAACACAACAATATATGGATCATACAGAGTGGGAATAGAATCTGAGGCATGTCTGGTATCTTAGCTACTGCATTAACAGTGAATTCAAATGATTTGTAAGTTTTGAACGAAGTCAAATATATTCCCATTGGTTGGTTTGGTAATAACCAAAAGTAACTTTATTTGTTACAAATCAACGTTTATTTCCATACCTGCACACCAAAATAACTTGGCTAACAATACATATAACTGATAAATATATTTTTATAACAATCTCCTTTACCATCCTATCTATCCTTATAAGTTTGAAAATTTAGCCGCCAATATATATAATATAACATTTATATATTTATAAGACTGTAATAAAATATTAATATGGTACTGGAGCAGACAGATTTGCCTGATCTTAAATAGACAATTTTGTTTGTACACGATGAGAGATTCGTTCTCTATCTCTTTCTCTAGCTCTCTAGGCCCCGCCCACGTGACCTTGAATTGACGAATACACAGAATGCGTCCACTAAGCTGGGAAGTGTATTTTGTATTTTTTGTTAGATGGCAATGGCAACTATATGGGGGCGTGGCTTAAAACTTTAACAGTGTTCAACCAAAAAAATTTTAAACTGATAAGGCGAGTCTGTCCGCTATAGTACACCAAGCTATAAAAACCAGTATAAATTGACCGTTGTATAATGAAAGATAATACATAGCTGGATCATGATATACTGGTTATTCAGCTGTGGTCGTATATTATTTCAAAGTGAGAAGACACGATCTTAAAAGGCTACGAAGTATTAAATAGTTTTCTTGAGATATATTTAATTAATTATTATGTTTAACGGTTTACTCATGTAACTTGTTGACGAGTATTCGGAATAGTTTTAAGGCAAAACTAAGTTGGTTTTTGATATGTCTATAGTGGTATATTTGCAACGCTAGGCGCTTATCATATTCGTGAGCATATTGCGCGGTACGGTAAACGTCACGAAGCTAATTTAACTCGTCCTAAAGTTACCTGAGTAATTAATTAACTGAAAATAACGTTACTCACGCGAATAAACTAAGAAAGGCTGGCGACGCGCACGCTTCTGATGAATAAGAGTCCCGTTGTGACTTGAAACTAGTCGAGATTTTCTCAGTTTATTCCCGTCAGTAAGTCGTTTAGGTATATATCACGATAGTTACTATTCAGAAATAGTTACGTGGAGAACCGTTAAATATAAAAAATATAGTTTACACAGTTGGTGTCTAAACAGATTTCACCCTGTTATATAATATAATATAAGTATACTGAACATTATGTTATATAATATATAAATTTTAAAACTCTACACACACAAAATGTAATGATACAAAATGTTGCCGTATTGTCCAAAATTTTACCTTTCCTTTCACCATCCTGGCACTGAATTCTGAACACATATGTTTTTTCTTAAACCATTACCCATAGACATAGTTATACTTTCAATCGAATACTTTTTTTAAATACGTTTAGAAGCCACTTTTTGGCACTTGATCATTAAATAACAGTCGCGTAGGTCATAGACCACAGGCGTATTATAAGGGGAAGACTGGTACTGTTAAATGGAAACTTTTTACAAGTTTTGTTAAAAAAAAACATCAAGAGTAACTACAGAATGTTTGAAAATAAATAAAGTTTTTTTAATATTTTAAACATACGTTCATACGCCCATGGTTAGTTTTAATGGTAATGTGAATTAATTACTCAATTTTAGACGTTATTCACTTAATTATTATTATGCTTATTAAGTATTAATAATGGTGGGGCAAACACAAAGGTGACTTATCAAATCTAAGTAACAATAAAAATATCACCCACGCAAACAGTAAGTATTAGGTACTTTTAAAATAATAATAATTAATTATTAAAGTAATAAAACTTAATTCGAACGTTACGTTAAAACTTAACGACCTAACTTCGTGTTAGTGAGAGACGAAAATAATCATTAAAAAAATTTCGTAAAAAAAATCTTAATAATTTCTAAGTTTATCTGTAATACTTCCCGTACAGAAATATAATAGATAAAATTTAAGTCGAATAAGGCTATAGATAGACTGACTGTATATTAACTGCACTCAGACTGAAAACAAATAGTGTATTTTAATGTCAAAACGTTTACCTTTAGTAATCACTAGATGGCGTTAAATTATATTTTAGCTGTCAAAAATTGACTGTTTTTTTTTAAATTTGGAACACAACTTTTTCGTCGTTAGCAATCGTAATGACGAAATTATACGCAATAGTTCAGCGTATGGGCCGTGTGCTGACTGGAAATTAATAGTCAGAGCGTAGTTTGTATACAGTCAATCGAATTAAGCCCTTAAGTAAACTAACCTAGGAGTTTATCACACTTACTGTAGCCGGGAGCATCGTGAGCAGTAGTCCCCATTGGCAGGGCTGCCGTAGTACATGCAGAGCGGAGCCCTGCAGGGCTTGGGCTCGGCGGGCCGGTCGTCGTAGAACGTGGAGCGACTTAAGTACAGCGTCCGGTCTGGCGGCGCGCGCGCGCCCTGCGAGCTGGCAACAGCGCGCGGTTGCTCCGATGACGATGACGATGAAGATGTCGCTGTTGTACTCGGCCGTTCTGCTTCCGCGTAGAACTGGGACCGTCCCGTACCGTAGCGCGGTTGGCTGGGACCTACTGGTTCTTTGCGATTCTTCTCGGCTGTGTATCTGGAGATTGCAAAGATTAGTTTTATAGAGCTTGCTTATTATACAATTGCTGTCATTAAAAGTAGAATTATGGAACTACAACCTCACTTAAAACTGTCGTAAAATAGTATTGTTTTCGTCAAGTGAATGAGGTTAGGCCCAATCTATCTTCAATTTAGAAAGCCCCCGATCCACAAAACCTTACTGCGATGTACTTGTCACTCTTTTACGATGCGGGCAATCAGCACAGTCCATGAACTGTGCCGATTGCTTTCCATCAAGTGAACAGTCTTCTTGTTTGCCGACCTATCTCATATAAAGAGACAAATCAACGATGGTGTAGCATTATGTTTTAATCTCTATCCAAACATGCCACAAAAAGTTCATGTTCTAAACAGAATAGACTCAATCGAGAGTTTACGAGGTAAGGTATGTGTGTATTATAACTTTGCCTAAAACAACTATAAGAGATTGAAATGTAAAGCTTACCCGATCCAAGCCTCGTTAAGGTAATTCTTGACCATCTCCTCCTGCACTGGAGCCCTGGCCGCCAACACCCTGCAGCATAAAACCTCGCAGGTGGACTGCCTCGTCATCAAAGTCTCCTCAGGGTTACTATGACTTCCACTACTTTTACCCGCCAACTTCGCCATGGAACCAAAGTTCTTCTTCAGCTTACTGCTCATTGACCTACCAATACTTCCAAATTGTTTGGCGACAGAGTTCAACTGCTTTGAACTTTTGGTGGACAGGGCGTCCAAGGATCTTCGCAGTTCTTCAGGAGGTTGGTTCAGGGAGATGCACTCGATTCTCTCAAGGTCGAGGTACGCTGCCAACATGGCTGAGCGCTGGTACTCGTCAGGGAGGATGTTGTTTATCGTCTTTTGATCAGGCTCCACATCCCAGGGGAAATCTTCACCAGGATCTACGTTGAATCTGTAATTGGAGATATAGAGATAGTATTGGTCAATATGAGGGTATTTTGGGACTATTTGTAGATCAAATTGGCAAAAAGTTAAGGAAATTAAGTAATAATTAATTAAAAACTAAAAGTAAAGACTTCATATTAATTATTTCTAAAGCCTGAATATAGTTAGTGTTAATAATAATTTGCAGTTTAAAAACTTAACAACGATGCAACGTTAGTTCGGAGGCCCAATCCCTCACCCATCATATATCGGCAACCCATATCCCCATAGGCCGGCAACACACTCTTTCGGTATTGCGGGTGTCCATGGTAGGCGCTGATTGCTTACCATCAGGTAGTCTGTCTGCTCGTCTGCCAAACTATACCATAAAAAAATGAGACTAAAAACTAAATTAATTTATAAATAAATAGTTACAATACCTTATAGGCATAGGATTTCCAGCACTATCCTCTAAGGGCACACGAGCGCCATCTGACGGTAATGGTTCGCAGGGTACGAGTGCGGAGAAATGTCCCGCGTCATACGCCAGCAGTATGGGCGTCTTACTGCAAACTTCCGGAGATAACTCCAAGGGAAGATACACCCCACCGAATGGGATTGGAGCTATTGGGTCACCTCGGAAATCCTGTAATAAATGAGAAGACAGAATTGGTTAGAAATTGCACTTTTAATAGTTGAACGAAAGATTTAAAAATGGATATTTGGCTTTTTAATCTTTACGGTAAAAGTTTGTAACCAATTTGAATCCTGAGTATCTAGTACGAAGATAATTCTAATCAAAAAATTAATGTTTTGCCATAATATAATATAATAATACCAATTAAAGACATGACGCAAAATAGTCTTGCACATCATCTCTAAACCAATCCTCAAATCCCCCCAAATATGTAAGTTTACTAAAGTTGTGTGTCCATAGAAGGTGTTGATTGCTTATTATCAGACTATCCGCCTATTCGTCTGGTAGTTTTTGACATTCAGATAGATACGACTATACACAGTTACTAATTTCGGGCGGTTTTACTCGCTGCTCAACTCCTATAGATCGTAGTGTGATGTTTTATAGCACTCAGGTACATTGTAGCTTTTTAACAGAGAAATAATTTTGGATATTCGATCTTTGGTAGCAAAGATTACCCCCTACATACAAACTTACAAATTTTACCTCTTTATAATATTAGTATAGATTATAGATGTCATTAGTAATGTAAACTCAGGTTGAATCAGGATTACTCAGCATTGCTCTCGTAAAGTCCCATCAGTGGGATTGCGTAAAGGGAAAATGTACTTGCGTCGAGTATAGTGATTCAATCAAATCATGAGACAATAATTGACCTCATCACATTCATAAAATTACGCGCGATCTAACGTTAAATGAGTAATCTAACGTTATATTCACGTATAAAAGGGAAGTTTTCTAGGTTTTTGATATTTTTTATTTTTATTTTACAAGGCAATTATAACAGGTAGGTAGCATTCGACATGATATATCGTCTTTTCCGCAACAAGTATTATATTTGATGTCAAAACATTGTTACATCATATGTTCCTATTTTAATTCGTTTTATACTTCGCCATTTGCAAAATTGCTTCCGGCCCCGTTTCTATTGGCACTTTAACTTTACTTACAGGTCCGGCGGCGAGCTAACCTTACCGTCCGCATACCCGCGCTTACGGTGGCCGGAGATCGTCTCTTCCGACGCCCGGAGTATCTATCGCCTACTGCGGCGGCTGGGGCGTGAGGAGGATAATAGCTTCCTCACGCGGTCCGCCTCTTTCTATGCGAACATAACTGCTTCACAGAAAGAGGGGACGGTGTCCCAGTTCCTCTCGCTCCGCACTACGATCTCCGTGTGAGAAGAGACCTGCAGTGGGGACTTATATGCTGACGATGTTGACTTACCCTTAGTGCGACATCAGCGAAGACGATGACGGGCCTCCGCATGACGTGTGCGAGCGCGAAGACGTGGAGGTGTTCGAGCGCGGCGTAGTGCGGCGCGGCGGCGGGCGCGGCGCGCGCCGGCTCCGGCGACGCGGCCGACACGCACTGCGCCCACTCGCGCTCCCACTCCCCCTCCGACGGCGTCAGCCCCGCCGACCGCAGCGATATGCTCTCCGACCAACGCCATCGACGTTTTATTGCGTCTGCAAGGGATTCGAGAAATGACTTAGGACTGCACGGTTGACGCATTGGCTGGGCAATTGCCTGCCGAGCAACGACTCGCGGGTTCCATTCCCGCATGGACCAACTCGCTCTTTACGCGCGCGCCTCACAGAGCCAATGGACCACCATAGACGGGGCTCTATGGGGCTGATGTTCAAGTGGGGTTGGGGGGTAAGCGCTATGAGACACCGCGACCTCGGCCCAGAACAGGAGAAGAAACGAGGGGGTTTTTAGTCAGTAAGAATCTGACACTCTCTCTCTCTCTCCTTAACCTGGCGGGAGAAGTCATTAGATGATTTTCCCCTGACAATAAAAGGTCTAGGTGTCATGTGTATGTGAATTTGTATGTTTGTAAACGCAACCACAGCAACAGACAAAATAAAAAAAAAAATCTAGGAGAAATCAATATATTGAAAATAATGACTTTCTCACGTAAACGAACTGACAAAAGCCCTACCAGTTTCAAGTCATAAGGGGACTCTCATTCATCATCAGCGTACGAGTCTGCTCTGTGAGACTCACGAGAGTAAATGCTGTGTCAAACTGCGCCAGAACGTCTACAAATATAGAGAGATGGCGAAAGATCGTGAGGAAAGCCGTGTCTAAAGTGTGTATGGTATGTGTGCCAAAAAGAAAAAAACAGAGAAGAAACAGTTAATGAAAAACCAAAGGGGGCCTAAAAGCAAAAAGACTTAATATTCTCCAACACTTACTCGTAAGTACTTCGCCGCCCTCTCCAGACAGTAGAGCCTGAACTTTGGTCCGCAGCGCGAGGAGTCTGTCGTGGAATCCATAGGCGGCGAGCGAAGCCGCATGAGGCAAGCAGTTGCCGTCTCCCGAAGTGGCGAGAGGCAGGAGACGAGGGGCGCCAGGCACTCTACCGTGGCGCCACCAGTTCAATATATTCGCTGACTCTAGAGTCACTAGAGTCGCAGTTTCCAGAAGGTCCTTCTCCAAGAAAGTTCTGGAAAAAAGGTGATCATGTTTCATGTAAAGCTGTACTAAAACTAAAGGTCATAACAGACTATAAGCTTCAAAACCCACTTGAAAAATCTATCAATATACATAACGTCGACGATATCCATGACTACTTATTTGGTTTATTATATTCGATCAAAAATTAAAACCGAAAATTAAGCACAATAATATATTTTCATTCGCGGACCGTCAGCTGCTATCGGTAAAATCAATGGCCACTGTTGGTTTCATGTCTCCGAAACACGAAAAGGTTAAAGAACGGTAAACAATAACAGAAAGTTCAACGGCAGACACAAACGGTTGGGTTGCGTGTGCAACGTTAATGAATGTTGGCTAGCTGCCGACCGTATGTACGCAGGTACGCTGCGAAACGGTACGTTACCACTATAACACTATATTTGTCATACGTGACTAATTTAAAGGGCACTATTCCAAAAAAATGCAAATATTAACACCCGTGCCACTGCCACCGCTTTATTTCACTATCTAGCAAGTCATTCGTTATTTTTATACTATTATACTAACGCCGAATGAATGTCCAAATGATGAGTTTCGTTATGTAAATAACTCTGCAGCAATAAATCAAAACGAAAAGAAAACCCATTTATAACAATTGAAACAATGGCGGGCGGAGTGGCCCTGTTTTTGGATAGTGATGACCTGTCCTCAGTTTTCGCTAAACAAAACATACCTATGATGGCCTTGCGTCGAAAATAGCTGGCAATCCAATTTTAGTACGAGATTAAGTAGGAAAGCCCCTTCTTAGTCCATGTCCGTGCAGATAATATTGAATTACAAAGATTCGATGTATGTATATTGTGACGGAAACTGACACCGACCCTTCGTTATGTGATTTTGGAAATTTCAGTGTTGTAATTTTCCGCATCCTTGATTTGTGTATAATTTTCCTTTCCTTAATGTCGCTCATATATTACACCTACAGATTTTTGCCATAATTGGCAACTTAGCAAAAAGTACAAAGCGCCAAATTGGCCCATAAGAGACGTAGTTTTAGGAGCTATTTTACCAAATGCTTTTCAATATGAACTTACCTGAAATCAGGTGGGTATACAGTAATATCAGGGAGCAACAGTATGTGGTCCGAATTGATTGTGTTCGGCTCTGGTTCGGTATTGTTGCGCAACGCCCACACGAGACCCTCATTGTCTGTCGCGCGGGAGATACCACGCGAGAGCTTGCGACCTGATGGAAATAAATTGAGGTCAGAAATATTTAAAGGGCACACACCTTAAATTGTTGAGTTTGGGATGGTGTTGAAATAGAAATGAACTCACTTTAGGACAACCTAAAGTGAGTTTGATATTTTGTAAAAAATGGATGGAATCAAGATAGTCCTATTCTTGTGCTCATTACTGCCATATTGCTATTGTCTACTGCGGGCTGAGAGACGAACGACTCTTTAACAACATGCCACCAGAGACCTTACGCCTAAAAAATTCGGACCCGAATGGGGGTCCGAATTTTTTTTTCTGGACTTTGCAGATATCATCAAATGCCTAGCTGAAGTGATGAAAACTTAGGTGCTGTTCATACGTAGCCTTAGCTATTTAGGTCATAATAATTGTATTCCAGTTTTTTCCTTCTACTATTGCATTTCAAGGGACTCGATCTATGGAAAAATATAATTTAAAATATTCGTAGCATAATTTTGTAGTTAGACTTACATTCAGGCGCAGGTGTGAGCACCAGGTTTGAAGGGGCCGTGAAAGACATGTTAAGGTCGAGAGTGCCGACGGAGCGCTCGGGAGAAATGACGTCACCACCCGCCCGCGCCTTCAACGATGCGCCGTGCACTCTTTCTGAAAGAAACACTCCGTAATCAAATAACGCATCACTTGTGTTACGTACCAACGTATTTATATCCAACACTGAATCATGTTATAAATTTTACTTCATACATCTCGGTTATTTTTAGTTTAGATATTCAAAACATGAGTCAAAACTTAATGTTTTGCCATTACAAAGAACATACCACTTCTCTCGTCACTCATTTAGCGATCCTAAGTGCTACTTTAACTCCTAATTTAAATAATTGGTGTTTAAAACAGGCTATTGTTAAAATTAGGTGACTGTATTACAATAAGTGTTCAGATTTAAATGCACAATACTTCAACTGCACACGGACAAGCAAACAGTTGAACTGGACTTCGTAATGAGGATATAAAATTCCATTTTATGAATAAAATTCATAATTATTTACAGAAAAAAACCCAGACAATCAATACATTATTTCTAGGACGTTGTTAATCAGTACTTTTGGATAAGTTGAGGAAATGTGTCGTAATACTAAGAGGAAAGTTAAATAATGAACAATCGATTGCATGGAAATGACATTTACCGGTTGAGCTACACATTTACTGGATAAGTAGCTGCAAGCCTTTTGGATTTTTATTGGATACATTTCGAAGAGTGTGCTGCACGACTTGATTCTTCCCAGTCCTACCAGCAGACTATCGGTCTAACGTCAGCGGTTCATTGTGAAAATTTCACCCGCAAGCGCATATAATGATCAAGATCGGACGCGATGGCGGAGCATTGCGGATGCACCCCATCTAGGGGATATAGGACTCAAAGTCATGTCAAGTCAAGTACATCTTTACACATTTTCGTGTCACGTGTTTGTCCGCTATGGGTAAAATTATGACGATTTTACGAGGAAAGTATATTAAAGTCTCCCTAAAAAGCTTAAATGTCGATAAAACAGCCCAGATGGCGAATTTGGGGCACAAAACCCAAATTGATTTATCAGTGGCGCCATATCATGATGTTTCCTATACACAAATAAGAGACGAATACAATAGAAGCGATGGAGCAAGACTGAACGACCGGATTGACAACATGAATGGCCAATCTGAATAATGCTGGCCATTCAAACTCATCGGATCACGATACGCTACATTGCCTCTTTGTAAATCGTTTGTTTCAATTTAAAAGGCAATTTGCACATTTAATTTTTTGCGTTGGATCTGATCAAGGATGTAATTTTGGAGGACAGGTGGAAATGTTTTTCCAATTACTTGCAAAACTGTCGTAGTGAAAAGACAAGTTTTATCACGGATTTCTTGATGATAAGCAATTGGCGCAGCTCATGGACACCCGCAATACTAAAGGAGTCACGAGTGCGTTGCCAACCTTTTTAGGTCCTAAGGGTTTCGGATATTTAAGAATTTTGGGAAGGGGTAGTGATTGGGTCTCCGGTAACCTCACTCACGCAACACAACGGTGTAGTTGTTTTTGAACTATGCAGGAGATATTTGAACTAAGTACATAATGTAGTAAAATGTTTATGTAGGGACACAAACCTATAACAAAAAGGAACAATAATAGTTCTTGGAGCTATTTTCTAAGAATGTCTCTCGAGTAAAACAAAATCTTTCTGTAAAGGACGTCTTTTGGTGTGCGGTCCAATGGAGGTATCCCTTAAACTTAACCTATATTTTATAAGCCGGTTTGTAAAATGATTATAGTAAAACAATTCTTAGCAACTTCCAGTATTATTTAAAAGTAAAAGTAAAATGAATGTTTAAATAGACACACGCAATATCAATAAAAATGTTATGTGCAACCAACAGCCTCGTTAGCCGTCGTCGTAATTGCACAAGTGTGACAGTTGAGTACACGTGAATATGTGATTTTGAAATTGGAAGAAACAGCTTGAAATCTGAACTTATGCACCGTATTCGTCTATAGTATCAAAAGTATTCGTTTATATAGGTATTTGGAATATCAGGTCTTAATACCTTTAATCCTAAAGGACTAATTAGAAATCCGTCTAACTTTTTCGAGGTATTTGACAAGGTTATACAGTGGGAACGAGATATGGATCAATATTACCAGAAAAGGGCACTAACTTTCACGCCTATCACTATTTTTATAAAACGAATAGTTCCATGTTCTTTCTGAATTTAGAGGATACATTTAATCTCTTAAATATAGAGACAATTAGATAACAACCGTCAAATGCTATGTTAGTACCCCTATGTCCTCTTTTTAAAAAAAATAGACCAAAATACAAATGGATGCCAAAAAGTGAAACAGCATTCAAAAATATAGGTTAGACACTGATATTTATGAAAATGTTAACTAGCCAGGAAGACTAAGATAGAATGCTAGCCGTAACTACAAATCACGGGGAACATCAAAAGCGTTGTCTGTCTGTCTGTCTCTGATTTGTGTTCCGATAATTTAGTTTCCGTTACTGCGAATTTGAATCAAATGGTCGGTTCGTGTAGCACGAGGTCGGGGTCGGTGGAAACAGGAAGTTTGGAAATGGCCAATAGACTTGCCTTCTATTAAAATGGGACTGATCCAATTAGTGTGTTGAAAAGTATACTTTTGGGTGTGATATCAAAAGTATAAGAGGAATTAGGTTCTGTTCGGTTATTAGAAAGTGTATGTATGTAGTAAAGGACTATTACAGAAAGGAGATAGAGATAGATAGGAAGAGTGATCGATTGGAATACTGTAGTTTTCAATACTTTTATCGAAATGTCAAAAACGATAATTTTATATGAATCTTTTTTGAAATAGCACGTTGTGACGTCATTATATTTCAACGTCAAATATTATACTTATTTATCTTGAATTGACAATAAAAATACGAACACCGAGTATATCGCAAAATAATGAATGAAGGTATGATTGTTTTTCAGTATTTTTATAGTTTTATACGTTGAAATAAGTAATTTATTTTTGATTGAGGATACAAGCCAATTGTAATAGAAGGTAAATATATATTAATAGCCGATCTTGTAACCAAATAAGGTAAACGGGTGGTATATATACCTAATAATGCGTGGGAAATAACTGACATAATTAGAAGCACATCCTTTGAACGAAAAGGAAGTATGTCTCACTGTGTGACGTGCTACTTGAGACAGTTTATAAATATAGAGGCAAAACAGTTTGTTTCAGAAATAGATTTTATCGACACATTCCTCACGAGTGTAAAAACATTGTTATCAAGTTTCCTTCTAATAATAAAACTAGGAAATACTTCGATAGCCGTAACATAACTGATTGCGGTCGAGCTCTCAGAATAATTCCATTACCCTTCATATATGTTGATAAATATAATCTGTAAGATATTGTTTACGCGAAAATATGATTCATAAATATTGTGAGTGTTAGACATGTAGAGCAAAAATATATTGCTATTTTTATTATTAATCCAGAATCCTCTTAAACTAAATATTCTAATCCTTCTCTCCGCTTCAGAATCCCTAGACCACAAACCTCTAATCTCCAAAAGGCCGCCAACGGCCTTACCACCAGGAATCATCTCCATCTTTGTCGCCGTATCCCACAACAGAAGGAATTACGTATACAGATCTACGTTTGAAGAGAATCGAACAGAAATCTCTTGCTTGCCTCACTAACAACAAGGCCATCAAGCCATGATTCATTTGCGCGACAAAAACTGTCTATAACCGGCCAGACATTCAAACAAAACGGATTAGGGTACGTGCCTAGTATCGTATAGATCAGAGATTTAGGCCAATGACTTAGCAAGTGAAAGATATGGGAGGCAAGGAAATAGGACGACGGGCGTCAATTGGGACATGACGCGCGTGACACATGTTATTAATTCTGTGTAGCAACTAGATTACATAATAAATCATTTCATACATGTATTTAATGCTCTTAATGAGATTGAGCTTGAAAATAGAATCCATGTCCCAGAAATTTTCGAGGGCTAATTTACCAGGACTTTTCCGAAGGCTTTGAAACCAAAAGTTTAGTAAAAATAATCCATGAAATAAACCAAGAATTTACATATTTGTATTTGTGTAGTAGAAATATGTAAATGTGAACGACTACAAATAGAAGTATAACGCTAAGAATTCTGAATACTTCTAGTGTTATTGCGATTTAAGTGCTCGATAAATTACTTTCTGGCAGTCAAAATGACCTCGGCATCATTCAATTATAGGCCTCAGTCTTCTGTACCGAAATGCCAAAATTAAATAAAACTTCTTGATAGAACGTGCTAGAATTATTGATGGAATATTTACCATCATTATGTTTGCCAGCAATGGGGTCGGCTTCCATCACCATCCCGGACTACCTACCCTGCAACAAAAGATGTTCTTCAAATCGTATCGTGAATTTTACGCCAATGTCACAAAAAATATTTAAGTCCTCGTCAAGGCAAGTTGAATGTAAATCGATAGTAGGTACCTCAGTTGCCAACAAGCAAACTGCGCCAACCACATGCACACGAAACAAGTCAAATAATATTTCGTTATTTATTGGACAAAAAACAGTGTTTACAGTGTGCCTTGCCAGCGCTGAAAATGACGAATTAAGTCCAGAAATATCATCGTGAGCAATAATGACACGTAGCACCACCCACATAGGATTTTAAATAGATTTAAATTACCAGTTCTGATCGTCCAGTTAATTGTTTTCTCGGGGACACACATGATATTGCTTACGGCACGTTTACGCTTTGTTTAGAAGTCAACGAGGCGGGGGATAAAGGTCTTTATGAACTTGTCTCTTGTTTGTGTCCGGTGACGATTGCGGAGACGACATCGAACAACAAATCTAATTAGAATACCAATTTGAATGCATGAATGATTTCCCTAGTACGCTAACGTAACGTATACTTGAAGCATCTTTATTTAATCATCTACAGCTGTATTTACATATTATACGAGTACAGATTTAATTTATTGGTCGGAGCGTAACCAAACATTTAAATTTTACTTAGGTATAAATAATAAGTTTTAATAGCATGTTGAGCCGTTAGTAATGCAGGTAGTCAAAGTCAAATTTTATTATAAAAGTCTGACAAACAACCGCTTAACGTACAGTCAAACAAAGGTTAGCAAAATAAATAACAAATGTATCTGTTTATCATATATACACTACAGTGTAGTCTAATACGGTAATACATCCTACGAAACGACACCTACGTTATAGAAGTTCGCAGATTGGCCATAAAAGCAGATCTTGGCTGGAACACTGTAGGCATCACGTGTTTCTGTATGTATTTGTTTTTGTATGTATATTCTAATGGTTTAACTGATACGGAATATTTTACGTATGGACAAACATGTATAGCAGGTAGCTAAACAAGGACATATTTTTCTTAAGTTTACCAGTCAACGAATCATTAGAATGTTATCTTTATAACAGTTGACAATAAGGTCCATAATTCAATAAGGATATTAAAATTCAGAAGTTATGGAAGACAGCATGATAAAGATTCGAGAGGAATTAAATCGCGTCTCGTCGAGATCTAGGCTATGACTCATGTTTGTATTCGTTTTTTGCTATCAAAACATAAGGAAACGAACCGACATCGCCTTCCTCGAAGAAAAAAAAACAATAACAAAGCAATAAAGAAGGAAATATGGAGGTCAGTTTTACTAATTGGCCGTACGGCGGAGAACTGAAAGCGATATGTTTCCCAAATTGAGCAATCTAACAATCCTGAGTGCGTTCTTGTTTACTTAATTAGAGCTTCAGTGCTAAGAATGTGGCCGTAAGAATATTATTACAATTAGCGTCACTTATTATGTAAGTGTCTGGGTTAGACTTAAGGTCTAAAGTTCCACTGGTATTTAGTTCTTCAAGGTGTTTGTTTGGGTCTGGTAATGCAATCAGATTTGGTTTCATAACGTTGATAAAGCATATCAAAATTGTTGTTAGTGTTGTAGGCCTTGCTATTTACAGAACAAGGTTAGATTTGTTTTTGAATTTAGAATTAGGATTATCAGTATAAACCTTTGATCGAGTTGATTTAGTTGAGAGTAGTTAATAGCTGCAAAGTTTAGCAAATGGGACGTATTTTTTAGTTTACTTTTAGCAATGGCAGTGGTTAAGATCTGACCTCGACACAGCGAAAATAATATTAATTCCAATACTAATAAAAGTCATTTTTCCGGCCTTTTTACAGGACAAAATTGGGACTTATGACGTCAATATTTAAATAAGGATAATGTGGTAGAATAAACATAAATCCTTTAAAAAACAAGTGGACAGTGATTCATGAACACATAACATTCCAGTTTAAGGCGTTCGAGTAAAAATATTGAAAGGGATGACGTGTATGACGCCGGATACGTCACAGCCAGATTAATAAAACGACCAAACCATGAATGGGGGTGACATTGAAATTGCAATGCGAGACAGAGCAGAGCTGTATAATATTACTTTTTTATGGTGATGAAGTGGTTGGAATATTAATCCAATGCAGATGGGATGTAGAGACCAGAGAACAAAAAAATGTGGGAACGGATTATCCTTTCAACAAGGAACAAGCATCACATGGTTAAAACTTTATTTTTATCCTTTTGCAGAAGTTTCCCTCCATCTTTCTTCCATACCTACATATAGGACTGACGCTCGTCATGTCTGTATTTGTTTTTAGTTTTTTTATATTATTTTTATTTATAGAACGGTCCGTTGTTCCAGCTCAACGTCATAAACTATCTTTTTATAGCAAGCATGGGAGGGCATTGTGAGCATAAAATTATGTTTATTTTAATTTTTATAAGATATTCTCTTTCTAACACTTACCACCACTTGTTTTATACCTTAGGTTAGTTGCCTATTGACTAATACCTCGTCTTATATGTTTAATTAGCTGTAAGTATTGATTTTTAGCGTGCGTAAGCAAATTTCTTTACAGCAATTCAACCTTGCTTAATGAATGCTTGAGGGTCAACGAATTCGCCGTGAACGCAATTAAGAATCAAGAGAATGCCTTCTAAAAAGTCAGCTTTGAATTACTTTTTTTCGATCTTCGATAAAAAGTAAAATTAACAAGGACGCTTGAGAAATATCAAAGACTTTATTCAATTTGGCCGTATTAGTTCGCTAGGAAGTATGTTGAAACGCTGGCGTTCAGCCAAGTGTTCATCACCAATTTTATGTCGATAACAACCATGACTTTCAGATGTTTCGGTGTCATCGTGGCGTTTGATCGTACTTGTGTTTTATTGAATTCTTTATTGGTGCAGACGTTAACACTTTCTCAACGTTTTTATTTCAAATCTCAAGCTGTTCTGATATTCTCACAGTGGAATAATAGCCTCGTATTGGCTCCAATCATGCAATATGCTTCTTATGTCACGAACTAAGATAGCAAAATTCACACAGTTCTCAGTATTAAGTTCTTGGGTTCTGGTTGACGGCGCTGCAGGAATCTTTGACCTTAATATGCATGGCTTGTCACGGTCGAATGTTGTTTTGAGCCCTGCTTAGGACTTAGGCGAGCGGATCGATGAATAGACACATCCAATTGATTAAGTCGTCATAATGGAAGTGTGGGAGAGCCATGCTTCGGTAAGAATGGGCTGGTTTGACCGGAGTGATACCACAGCCTCGCAGAAAAACGGCGGGAAGCAACATCTATGTTGTGTTTCGCCGTGTGAGTGAGGTCAACGAATACCCAATCCTTCTCTCCTATCCACAAATTCCTAACACAAGAGGCGGGCTACGGACTTGCAGAAACTCCTTCGGTATTACGAGTATCCATGGGAGGCGCCGATTGCTTACCATCAGGTAATTTTTCAGCTCGTTTGTCGACGTTTGCCATAGAAAAAGTTATTCTAAGATTTGGAACAAATTATTTTAGATTTTTTAAACAATTTTTTGGCACTCATAAAGTATAGATATCATAATTTTAACCAGGCACTCCTTACTTCTGAGATAATCAGAGTCAGAGTCAGTCTATTCAAGGTAATTAAGGCACAAGATTTCCACACTTATACAGCAGATAAGCTTTCCATGATCCACTACACACGAACAACTTTCGCATCGACTTTTTGTGAGCCGAGCGATGGTTATTGCAAGCCGATTCGTATTTCCACACATGTCATTGTATAGGAGAAAGTTGTATTGTATTAGGCATTGGTATGCGGTACTTGTTACTATGCTGCTTATTGTTCCTATTGGAACATGGGCTATGAGAGGATGTGCTGTTTTATTCGTGGTTTATTTATCCAGGAGTTAATGTGAGTTAAGCGTAGTTGGGGGTTTGCGTTCGACAAGAAAGGGTATCAATGCGCATTAATGATCCATCAGAGAACCAAAGTTAGTGTCCAATAAGGCCAATGGTTTACCTCGGCTCAACTCGGAGTAGGAAAAGGAACCGGGTTTTTAGCCAGCAAGAGTCTAATGCTTACGTCTCGCCCCAGCCAGGGCAGAAGATATCATTGCATGAGAGTTAGGTATTGGATATTTTTGAGTCGCTATTTTAGTATTAAGAAAAGCAAAACCTTCAAATGAATGGTCCATAGTAGAATTTACATCAAACGCATCGCTTGAAGTTCATATAAGCACTTTACTCCCATGCCACTGCATGTTTTATTGTAAGACCCAAACTACAAAAGTTGCAGCAGCTGGCAAAATGCACCTTATCATCTGCTGTAAGATGTGCGATCCTTAAACTTTTTTTTTGTCTAAAAAAGGTTCAAACACAAGACACAGCTGTTTTACTGAGAGCATTCAACTTTTCGCATTACAAAGATAGTCAGGTGATTTTCGTTTTAAGGCATAGCATCTACATAGTTGGTGAATTTCACATAATTTTTTTAAGTTTTTTTTTGATGCGTGACCGAAGCACGTGCCTAAGTTACGATAAAGATTAAGTATAAGTAAAATTGGTACGTACGTATTATGGAATAGGTATAACATAATCTAATCAAATAATGATTAAAAATTGCCAGCGTTTATACCTACGTTTGATGTCGTTTCTTATCTTGTTAAAAACTGAATGGTTTTCCGACAATTACGTTATCAATACGTCAATTCACTTTAATTTTAGCGACAATTATGAAGAAGTTTTGTCCTCATGGCTGCAATTTCGATCAGAGAATACGCTTAGTTTTATACTTCAAGTTGAGTTTATTTATTTATTATAAGGTACGCTCACAGCTTATGTATACAAGTGGTTTAAAGTATTGGTTATAGGCAGTAGGTCATATACATTAGCCAGTTACGAGCTAACCAACATTCTAAAAATTATGCGTTTATACAGTAAAAATCCTGAGTTTGGAAGTATTGGATAAGAAAAAAGATGAAAGACGAAGTAAAGCTATGACCTTGGCCATTGTTTAAGTACCCAGCATCAAGGCAGTCCAAAAGTACGTTGGGTAGATATAAACTTTCGCTATCCCAAGCGTATGGCGCGTAGCGTTCTACGCCCGACTCATAGAGTCAATAGACTTCCACAGACGGGGTCCTATAGAGCTGATGTTGTAGCATGTTGAGGCACCGCGGCCTTGGCCTAGAGCAGAAGAAGGAGCGGTCGGCTTTTAAGCCAGTAAGAGTCTGACTTTCCTGGGCGAGAGAAGTCATTTGATGATGTTCCCTACACAAAAAAACCTTTCGTCGGTTAAATAAGTACCTAAGTAGAAGAAAGTAGACAAGAGAAAAGAGAGATTCGAAGCTCATATGACGTGGTTACAGAGTTGAAACATTTTCAGTAAATACAAGTCATTTAAACAAAGTTACAAATAAGTTTAAAAATAAACAAACGAGAAAACAAAGTGTGTTTAAAAATGTGTTCTCTGACAAACTCAGGATATCGCCAGACGTTTTTATGACATGTGATAATGACGTCACTCGTTTACAGATTATTTACAAAGTTTATGAAAAATAAACTTTATGTAGGTACCTAAACGTTTTTACATTACATTTTATATTTTTGTTACTTTTGAGGGCAGGCAAGAATGGTCGATTTAAATTAATTTGGTTATTTTTTTAGGGTCTAATTTATTCTGAATTCAAATTAATGAGTAATTTTATTTAATTAAGTATGTTGCCAGCAAATATTGACCCATTACCTACCTTAGAATTGAGATTCTATATTGTTTTGTAATAAGGTACTTATTTGAATGTCCTTCGCTTCTTACATAGCACTTGTGTAATTAGAATTACATACACAGGTATTGAGTTATCAATGGATTAATCATTTATTTGGTTTTATTAATTACATCATTATGTACATATTTGGTATATGGACCTGTACGAACTTGACTGATAAGAATTTTTATAGCAAAGATTGAGTGGTTTTTTGTGTAAAACTAAAACTGCAGCCTTAATTTACAGGTCGTGGGTACAAGTCACTGGTATCGTCACGTAAACAAAGACTCATAAAGTCACAAAATATTGATTTATTATTACAAATTAAGCTGAACAGTACCTGGTACTTCTATGGGGTCTCAAATTTTTTTCGATGGAAGAATTGCGCAAAGAGACTTGGCTCTTTTAACATTGAATGTTTTTGGTGGGTCCTCAATTTCTAAACATCCAAAAATTAAACTTGGTCTTACAACAAGTTTTATTCTTTGGTTAAATAAATTGCATATTCCTTTTAAATACATTCCGTTTGAGTTTAATCTATACTAATATAATAAAGGTTAAGTTTGTTTGAACACCCTAATCTCAGGAACTACTGGTTTGGATTGGAAAAAATATTTTTCAGTTTGATAGACCATTAATTGAGGAAGGCTTTAGGCTATAAAACATCACGCTACAATCTGTAGGAACCGAGCTAGTATGATTATAAGCTAGTGTAGGTTTATCAAATAATCAAAGATATTGAACAAATCTAAGAAAAAAGGCCAAGATTTTATGCCCTTCAGCCAGCACACACAGACAATAGCTGATTACCAAGACCAATCTCTTTGAATTCTATTTATTGTGTTCCATTCTGCTGCAAAACATGAGTCATATTATTGTTTAAACAACCTTATCATCTTATCAATAGGTATCATATTTGTGTACCACTTTTTTACTTTATTTGCTTGGTAAGTGACATGTTATAATGCATCATTCGGTGCCTGATTACTAGTCTTATCTATATGGCAGGTGAATGAAATAGGAATACTTACTATATTAAAGTATTTTGTTGAGTGTAGATGTGGTATGAATTTTTATACAAACTTTCAAGTAAAAAGGCATGAAAACTACTGAACCGATTTTAGTAAACCTTAGTCTAAAACTTAATGTATTTTCGAAAAGAATATAGAGAGACGGATAGCATCAATTTTATATATTATATATTGCATACAGACGCATTTCATATATTTTTTAAGAAAATGTTTATAGTTAACTTTTTAGACCTTGATTGATATTGGGCATAAGAATCAAGTTTCATTAAAATTGGTTCAGTAGTTTCCATCATTTATTAATCAGTTAATGAGTAAGTTTATATGCACACCATTGCCTTGTAAGCAATCTTAACAGTCACTTTTAATAACCTACCAAATCTAAACCTAGAGATAGATATCCTATATCGTAAATGCATGGTGAGGCAAGAAGCAGCGTAAGACTAAAACTCTTGCTTTAAGCCGAGGCAGCAGTGCCTTATAGTGCTTGCCCTGCATTTCTGACTGAAAATCAACACATATATGGCCTCATCTGTGGTAGTCTATAGGCGGAAATGAATGGTGGTAGTTATTGTTTGTACCTCGTCAAGACAAAGTCTACAAAATAGATTTTAATACATTTAGTTTGAAATAATGCATAGGAGATATTTCATCTACAAAAGCCACAAGCAAAACCCAGTTTGATAATTTTAATTGAAGTAAAAAATTCTACTGACATTGCTTTTCGTCATAAAAAAATAAGAATGAGTTTCCTTCTTCTACTTGTGTCTGGAATCCAAGAGTTCTTATCAATATGACCATTATAAAGAATGTGGCTGTTTGATACAGAGGATGATCTGAGATAATTGGAATCTCTTTTACCTTATTAGCATTTTGAATGAGTCTTATTACAAATTTCAACTACACAGTGTTTGTTGTAAATAAGCATCATTTGAAAATTTTAAATTGATTAAGTATTATTTTTTCTTTAGTATGGACTAAAGCATGGAAATGGTAATTTCAATTACTTTAGTCTGACAAAAAAAAAACTAAAAACTAGTGTTTTACTCTTTTAACTAAAAATAACAAAACCTTTTCTACAACAAAGGTGTTGACAGAATAAATTCCAGAATGAAATGTCTAAAACCACAGAGTATCTATTTCATGTTGGTATTATGTTACTGGCCAGTAAGAGCTTGCAAAGTGCTAACTTACAACACTGTGGCAAGTTATTTTATTTTATATAATTGCACTTCTGAATGCTTTTTTTTAAATTTATAGGACAAAAATATATTTTTTTAGCCTGTGTCACTATAGGTTAACATCAACTGCCTTTTAAAAATAGTTTCTAATAAAAACTGATGAATTGCTAATTAACCATAATTACAGAATTTATTAAGTAAACATTTGAAAGATCAGGGCAATTACTTAGCGTAATTCACACAGCATAATGGAAATGAACTAATCAAATAAGCAATAGTTCTTCTTGTACACATGTTTCATAGCAAAAAGCATGCCATAAGGTGATAATTAACTCAATTTCATATGTTGTGAATTGGATTTAATAGTCTAATGAAGATTATCTGTACTGCAGTAAAGAAGACTGGTAGTTTCTGATTTAATTAGGTAGTGGATTGTTTTAGGTAATCTTCCACTATTAGCATTTTGTAATGTGACTTTAAAAAAAAAAAAAAAAATTTTTAATTCACACAGGCCGTAAAGAAACTGCACCATACCCACTTTTCTTTTTTTTCTTCTCTTAATACCTGCTTATTGTATTTACAAACAAAAGAATATCTACAAGAAAACGTTTTATAACGCGTGCGTGTTATGAATTGCTAGTTTTCTCTTTAAGTACATACTCAAAGTATTTACGTCGCCTTATAAATACTTGTAGGGCACAAGCCGAATTAGACGATGACACTCCGCTTCGCTCACTCAAGGTTACACGAAACAGCGCAACTGGACGACGTTCCAGACAAAACAAGAGATTTAAAATAGTTACGAAATCATAACGACCCTATATCTAACAATGAATTGCATTAACTTTAAAAAATACGTACAATACGACAGGTGTTTGATCATCATTCACTAATAACTCACCTTATAAAACGAAAAATGTCCTTATTGTACGATGTTTTCCCATAAAACACTGTCACTTTCGTTATTATCACGAATCAATTGGTAAACACACGAAAATATGAATATTTACAATTTTACAATATTTACAAATAAACACCACTTTCTACTGCGCGCAGAACTTGTAAAAACCAAAAACAAAATAGACTGATCGTGTTTGACAGCACAGATTTAGTGTTGGGCATCATAATAATGACATTTTGATATCGAGTGGAATCGATTACAATCGATGGTGTTTTAAAAATAGTTTTTTTTAATTGCAAACGTATAAACATTATTGGTTAAGTTTTAAATAGCTTCTTATATTATAAATAACCAAATTTCATTCATTAAAATTTCTATTATTATGATGAATGTTAAGTCGCCTTATCGACATTTTAATTACCATAGTTCAATGAGTGGTCTATGTCACATCACATTGTCTATGGATATAATGTTGCCACGAAAAGAAATCTCCTCTAATGCATGGAGTTTTAAATTATTGTCATGATTGTAAAATATATTTTTTAATTTAGGTTTTATAAAATACTAGCTTCCACCCTTGCCTTCGACCACGTAGTATGTTAAAAAAAACGTCTAGAGTATTACGTACCAAATTTCAAACAAATCGGTTTAGCCGTTTTTGCGTGAAAGAATAACAGACATACATACATACAATTCTCACAAACTGACACAATATTAACAAGGTATTCGCCACTTTTGGTTATAGATGAAATCACGAATTAAATTAAATATGTACTTAAATCCTTGCAATTTACATACATTCACTTATCAGTCGTTTTATTATTTTATATTTCAAATGTAATAAGCCCTTAATAAGATACAGTCTACGTTTAAGATATAGGAGTGAACATTTTATTTATGAAATTTAGCGTTTGACAGCTTTTTCAGGCAAAAAGCTTTATAAAGTAGCAACACTGAACGTAATTTCCGGGTTCCTGTCGGGCGGGCCGATACGGCTAGGAGGTCCAATCAAATCATTCAGCTCGTGGTTCTATGTGGGCGATACCTATCAAAACAACGTCTCCGTGTTGTAGACCGCGCGTGTTATTTACAAATTGAAAACATTGACTGAAAATATTTAGCTTTTAACGTTTATAGTAATGCAGTGATATATTAAAGTGTTATCTGTTGTAATACGAGTAGACTTTTGATTTATTGACTGTATGCGAATATTAATTTGGTGCCGAAAATGACCGCTTCTACGATGATTGAGTTGGAATCCTGGATAATCTACCAGTGTGTGCTGAATGAATGTCATGTGTCCAGCAGCTGTAAGTAGCACTTGTATCAATTATTATGATAATTAATTCATAAGGTATACGCTGCACGACAATGCGCGTGTTTAATCACGTCAAAATATTTTTTTTTAATGATTTGTTTTCGTTAGTCAGTCGTAAAAATACTAGTTCACAATTTCCTTAATTTATTTATGTTATAATTGTTTTTTTCCGCTTTGAGATATTGCGGTGAATAATTATATTTCAAACATGCACGTTTCTTATGTACCCGATACAAAAAACATTGGTAATTTGGTACGTAAATTCGTAAAGCTGCAAAATCTTATTGACGAGTCTTTTTGAGAATAGTAAATAGTAATTACCTAAATGTTTCTAAAAGACGTTAAGTAATTAATTCCTATTTAATAAAAAAAAAAACAATATTTATTTTTCTTTTTAAAAACAAAAGGTCATCTTTAATTGTGTTAAAAATATTTCATTTTCAAGTAGAATTTCAGATATTACGATACTAAAACGATGTTTTATTTAATTATTCAACTACGCAACTACACTTTTGCATATGAGGTTGCTTGTAGTTTCAAATACACATACATATACACCTACAAGCATTATTACTCGTGATTATAAACATTAAAACCTTTTTTCTCCAACCTCACCGTTTTTCACCTACCACCTAGGTTCCTAGGTACCTATTGGTGTCGTCTGAACCGCAGTAGGCATATACATATACCTACCGGTTGGGAATTACGTCCAATTCAATGACTCACATGAACTAAATTAATTGCATTTCATATTAATTTACTTGTAGTACAAGCTAGGCCTTTTGTAGGTTAATACAATTGTAGCCAGGAAGATCGAAGAGCGACCTATGGGATTTTACGAGGTTATCTAGTCGACTTTATGACTAAGCTAGTCTTTTGAGATTGTTGAATAAATAATTTAGGTTAATGTTATTATTTTAATACTGATCTAATTTAGGCACATGAGTAACATAAGCATGGGTTCTTAAAAAACGCGTAGGTATGCAGTAGGCAATAAAATTCTTTATGGTCGTCACAAGTCAGCAACGCATTCGTGATATACAAATCAACATATACTTTGATTAATCTAATTTACGAAGAAGCATGAAGTTCAAGTACTTCTATTTCGATTATAAGATTGGTAGGTCCTTAAAACAAATCAATATTAATGACCTTCTATAAACATCAGTTCTTCATTGAATGCCTCGGCTCCATGGACGATAAGAGCCTCTTACACACAAGTAATGATCACAAGCAATCGTGAACGTTTGAACGGGACGCCTAATTAATGTTAATTGCGTACCATCTTCATAACACATGCCCTGTCCGGCGCAGTGTCTGTTGCTCCTCAGTTGAATGTATTTGGAAGCGTGCTGCTTATTCTACTTCGAATAAGAACATTGTTTAGGATGCTCGGTTTTGGAGAATGTATCTGATATTTGATTACCTTGCCAATAACTGCGATTTTAGAATTTTCGACCTTCTAAGTGCGTTCATTTCTTACAGTTGAATAAGACAAGAAATAAACGGTAATGCGGATAATATTTTTAGTCCAAACACAACGCTTGAATAATTGTAATGGATAGCGACTTCAAATATTTGTTACGTATTCTAGAAATGTACTGAAATCGGTATATAGTCTTGTTAGCAATAAATTAATACGAAGATCGTTAACAGCCCGCAACAAGTACACGAACAGGCTGCCCGGAAGAGGCTATTAATCGGCACCAATCACGTTCGATACCAATCTGAGACATGCTCTCGATTTCTGTAGCGTGTTGCGATTTTCTATTACACCGTCTTCATGCTAAGATTCTAGATAACACTCGTCTACAAATCGTGAGTCAGTTTAGCAATACTAGAATTGGCGAAAATCTATGCCATGTATGTTTTACAAAGCGTTCTCTCGTATATTTTTAAGGGTGTGCACAACGATGCGAAAATTGTACAGAAAACACTGTACACGAAAACTGAGTTAGCTATAAAACTAGATTATGTATGTAGGCTACTTCGCGCTGGTTGTGAAGGGCATAAATTTTGGAGTGTTTTGAAGGTAAACCGTGGATCGATTGAGTCTTCTTGACACACAGGAGCTTCACGAAGGACGCGGCCTTGGGTCCGGGCAGCGCTTTACGACGCCACCAACATGGAGCGTGTAGACGTTATAGAGTTTTATGTTTACTGTGGCATACTCAATAAATATGCCAATGTCATAGTTAGAGGTTATTACTCCCTTGTATGTATGTTTCAGCATACACACACCCCTTTGTTGACAATTCATATGGACATCTATGTCTATAGTATGACGCATTTTCCCCAGCCGCATCAAAAAAACGTTTTCCGACTTGCGACTCGGCGTTTCCTTCCTTTTGCTCCAGATAGCGAATATTTTTGCATATTTTCAAATCGTTTACGTATCTAAAATGTCGTTCCCTAAAAGGGTTCCGTTGAAATAAGTGGTAACAAAATCAGACATAGGGTACAATCTGCGTGCGGCTCAAGAGTAATTTCCTACATTGATCAAGTCCCGCCTAATAATTACGATACTTAAACTTAATGGGGAACTTGATTATCGTAGAAAATAATTAAATACATTTATGTACTAAGGAGTTTTATGGGACGACTGCATTATATTCACGGTTTATAGTCGATCCTTGTGTTCCAAAGCTCATACCGAAAGCAATAAAAAATATTTTGCTAAATACGAATGAAAACTTACAAAGTAAAGCATAGGTAATAAAAAGTGTATTTTTCTCTTTGATATGAATGCAAGGGTAGTTAATGTTATCAATAAGCAGATTGCAATAAAAATACCACTATCCAGAGAGGTGAAGACGAAGAGATATTTAAGACTAAATTGACAATTTTGTTAGCAGGCGATGGAAATATCGTGGCTGACATAATGTTTAATAAGCTATTTTTTAAAAGAAACCTCTTTTAAATTTTAGATAACGTAGTATATTTTTACATTAAGAAACGTCTCCTTTAAATCACTATAAGAAAAAATATGGGATGAATAATAATTTCTACGTTATGAACAATGAAAAAAGTTAAGACAGTATTTAAGATATAAAATGGTACAGATTTCATGCGTAAATTGATACTTTATTAACAATTTCCATCAAACGTAGGGAAGATTTATCATTCACAACTTTGTGAGTAAGTAGCAAATTTGAGACGTTATGAAGACAAATTAATTTTCAAACTAACTACAGATGGAAGTCTGGTTTTGTTGATTGTTTACCAAGTTGATCAGATTTCAAAGGATTGGATTAAACTTTTATGTACTTAAGATAATCTGTTAGTACCTATATTTGCTTATCTATTTGTAAAACACTATTAAAAATTTGGTTCGGTTTTTAGTCTGGAGCCCATTATTTGGATGTATGTTATTTATTTATTAAGAATATTTACATATACAACATTGCAGCTTACGCCATTAAGTTGTATTGTTAGTTTTATATATAAATACTATCATAGGTACTTAAAAAATAGGTCGGTAAAGAGTATACGATTCACACGACGGCTAGAAATCGGCGCTGTCCACGGACACTCACAGTAACAAGCGTGTTGTCGATTTTTTAGGACTTGTTATTGGATTTGTGAATTGGGGAGGATTAGGGCCTTAGTAATATTATTTAAGCCAACTAAATTAATTTTGTGAGTGTTAGATAGATATTTTTAGCCCACAGAAAATTAGGGCAACTAGGTGTAATTGGCGTGACAATAAAGGATAGTAGAAACTAGACCTAGCATTTGAACAGAAACAATTTCGTGTTGATCCAGTATACCCTATGTTTTTTAACTTCAATGAACAAGTCAATATTACAAGGGAGTACACTGAAAAAATAGATTGTAGACCGTAAAACAATACTGTTTTAAGAGCGAAGGGTGTTTTTAAATTTGCCGTATATTTTCTCGAAATTTCTCTATAGGCGTAGAGTTAATAACTCTAAATGAATATCGCAATTCACCGGCTTGACCGCAATTTACCGAAGTGCTCTCGCCCAAGGATTACTCTGGATTCCATGTGTGGAATGCTAAAGGTCACGAGCTTTTGTCAAGTATTCCCATTCGATATATTATCACTGCATATTCTTACACTGCGTACTTTTTTAGTTTTTTTGTTTCATTAGGAATTAATCTTACTACCTGTTATTGTTGTTAAAGTCGGTTTTCGGTTAAAAGTAGTTTTTTTTATTTCATATAGACTGTCTCTGTCGCCAACAAAACCAAAATATCGGATCACCTTTCTCAAATTATAATTTAACCTTCTTATGATAGAGTCCAAAATCTATTGAAATGTTGTTGGTAACAAAGTCACCCTTTTGTAAGAAGTATAAAGTCTTTATCGTAAGGCGTTCCTTGCTCAGCTGTTGTATGGCAGGTGCGCTCCCAGCTGCTCGACCCATCGGTTTTAACGGTCGCTCGCTCGTGCGACTTCGCCCTTTTGGTTTCAAAATTTCAAATATAGAAACAGTGAGCTTCCAATAAACAGTAGGTCGACAACACTGGTCAAAAATAAAAGGTGGACAAAGACTTATAACCAAATAACATTTTTTTTTATTTTCCCTTATTTTTTTTATTTCTGTTATAAAATTTTTAAATTCGAATTGAAAATTTTGTGTACCTATTGTTGGAATTGGAATTGGAATGATGATATCAATTCAACATTTTGGGCCTATCTTTCTTCTCTTCCTATTCTATTCTATTTGCGTACAATCTACGCAGGTCTTTTAAAAATTAAAAAGTTACCAACGTCCTACGTGTAAAACCTTTCAATTTTATTATTTACAATGTCAACTTCGGTTTTTATTTTCTTTAGCACTGCGACACAACGCTGACTAAGCAAGTATGAATTTTAATTGGAATATGGCTGACTTGCGAACCTTGTGTTGTTTAGAATTCGATCTCGATATTATGAAAATTCAAGAGCTAGATGTTTAAAATGTCTGTAAGACTTTAATCTCAAGAATTTGTAGAGGAATCTTAATTAGAATAAATTAAATGTTA